AATGTGGCGTAAGAATCTTGTTAGATGGATGCTGCTGCTGCTGCTCTCACTTAGCATTTAGCAATTTGCTCAGGAATGCTGCTCTTTGCAGTGGCAAAGTTTCGCTTTCTAAATGCCTAACATTACTCATGCGACACGTTGTACAATGTTGCAAGAGGAAGAGGTAGGGGGAAAGTCGTGAAGAACTTGAAATGCTGCAACAAACTATGTAATAAAATTTAAAACTTCCTTGACATTACTCATACGACACATGGTACACAAAAGCAAGTATATTTTTATATATATCACATTATTTGTTCATTAACATTTTTCTTGTGCTTTTTGTGGTAACTTTTGGCCTACTTTTGTTGCAGCAAGCACGTGCTTCGGCTTAGCTTGATCTCTTCGCTTTGTGTTTACCTTGGCCACTTGAGTTGTTTTTAATAAACTGTTAATAATGTTTAACTTTTGGCGCTTACGAGCAACCCACATACAGCGCGACTCTGAGCGCCAAGACACCTGCCCACACATCCATGGTCCATGGTGAGCTGTTCGGGTTTATACCTCCGCTACTTTGTGGTCAATAAATGTGGCCATTATAAGCCTTGTTCGGGCGTGGGCGTGGCATTTATACATATATTATATAGTATTCCCTACGAGATTAACCATCGCGTGTGTAGACTTCTTGTCCGACATGTGAGTGTGTGTTGGCGTGCTCTGGGCAATTTCGGTTTTTATTTTTTTGCTCTCTTTGTTTGTGCTTTTCAGTGGGATTTTCATTGACCAGATTCCATGACTCTGCACAATGTAAATTAAACAATTGTTTGCAGTGCAGTTACTGCTGCTACTGCTGCTGCTACTCCTGCAACTACTGCTGAAATAGTTGGCGTAATTATGCCGCCTGAAAATCGTTGGCTGTCATTAGGCGCACGAGTTGACCATGAACCAGTGACGGTTTTTCCAATTTTTCATTTTCATTCCCCATTCAGTAGGCTGAACTTTAAACAAAGCCACTTGGGCAAGTCATTAAAAGTGAAATAAATTAAAGTAAATGGGAATCTTTAGTTTAATCAATTTTACTGAAAAAGATGAAAGACAGGGGAATTATAGAGGTATTCTTTATTTTGTCTTTTTCTTTTAATGTTTTAAGAAATAAAATCTATGATTAGGAAGGTTACCTTATTGCAAATTTTATTTTGTAAGCAAACAGAACTTGTTTCTTGTTAACTCGAAATTGGAGCAATTCAATTACTAGTCCAGATTACACGGAATATAATTGTTATTATTACTGATAAACTTGTTTTCGTTGCAATCACACAAGTAACATAATACCAATAAAAATTGGAGTTTGTTTCCGGTTTATTTCAGACTCAAAAAATCAAATTTCAGTTTCTAAAAGCTTGCAAATATTAGTATACTTCGAATCAAGTTACTATTTCTTAAGCTTGACTTAATTTTGATTCTAGAATTTCCCGCTAGATTCTCAGACTATAATAATAGAGACATGAATAATAGAGTTTTGGTGGGTGCTACAAGGGGGCGGAAGAGGCGAAGTTCTTTCAGTTGCATTGCCAATATCCGCTGGCAATGCATTCAAGCAGCAAACAACATACTATAAAAACCAAGCTTAAAAGCCCAAATCGAAATCCATTGACTCACTGACTAACTGACTGGACAGAAGTGACTGACAGACTGACGGACTCGCACAATGAATGAATTAGTAACGAGTGCCGAGCGGGTAACGTGGATCGATTCACGCTCGACCGACAAACTTCCGCTGCTGGGCAGAAAGCTAACGAATGATAACTGTGCCATGTTTTCCACTGGGGGTTAAGTGCAAACGTCATAAACTCAATTTCTCCCTCCCCCCCTTCCCCCTCCAGCGATGCCTTTTAACTGTACATTGGAGTGTGTACATAGTTTAGTTACCTTTCGAAAAAAAAGGGGAAAAATAAACACACACAAAACAACAAAGCACCGAGCAAAGCAGAGTGGCACAAAAACAAAAAATGATTCATGCGCAACCAGAAGCATAGAAAGAGATGGGGATTCTCCCAGAGAAAGAGAGAGGGAGAAACTTGTTTGCCAAGCGAAGCATCCAAAAGATGGCTCCTATAAGAACAGCTCTCTAGGGAACTATCCACAGCTCGAAAAATAATACAGCTTTCAATATAAAAGTTACTTAAGAAAATTGTTGTGAAAAACCGTAAAATAATCCAAGATTTTAGGTAGATAAATCAAATATATACATAAGTATTTTGGATTTAATAAGTTTACGTTTTGTAGTTTGTTTATTAAGTTCAAATATCATATTGCAAATTAATTTACCGTCAAAAGACTTCTTTAAAAATCGGTTTTGGTTCATTAAATCATTTTTTTTTGTTCCTAATTAGTATAGATCGAAACTATTATGTGGAACACTAAAACTTAAAATATAAAATGATCGTAAATCTATAACCTTCTAAAAGGTCTACTACTTCTAGGACATCCTTGTGTTATATTTGTATTACTTATGCTAAGATCAAGTTCTTTTCGATAAGCTGCTTTATCTAACCAATCGATCATCACATTTTTTTGTTCAATGCACTCGGCTCCAGGCTTTACTTTCCTTCAACGGCACCCAAATCGCTCCGCCCTTCCGCCCATCCTTAATTGCATTGACACGCCCCGTTTATTGGATTGCTGCGGTTGCCTTGCCTCGACTTTCCAATTGATCCGATTGATAATTGGATTTGCGTTTGCCGATTGGAAAATCGAAGCGGCAAAGGCAAAGGAAATGCCTTTCGAAATCGACTTCGACTGCCTTATATGGATCGGATCGGAGTCGTGATCAATCAGCTGATTCATTAGCCCCAATTTAGTTGGTCAAGGTTTCACCGCCCCGGTTGCAAACGTGCTTATCGCATCAACACCTTCCGCAGGTCGACTTCCAATCACAATCGCAATCGTTATCAGTGCCCAGATCGATTTCAATAGGCGACTAATGAGAGTTGCCTTATATGGAAGAGGAACCCCCAGACGAGCGGCAGAGTATGCTTGTATTTGGCGCCGATCATTAAATTAAACTACACATGTTTTTTTGATAAGGAAATGGTATTTGCTGAATCGCTGAATAGCGTTTGTTTTGCTTTTGTTTTTTTTTTTGTATTATTTCAGCAGGTGATAATAGAATTGTTTAAACATTGTTTAGGACTTTTAATTACTGGGAAATACACCTAGAAATGCATACCAAAAAAGGAAACTTTTCAGGGAATTCTATAAGATAGAATAAATATCTGAATAAGTACTTTAAATTTATATAAAAACATTATTAAATCTATAGATTCTTAATCATAACATTTTATATTTATAAGATATATTAGGAAACGTAAAACCTATCATCAAGAAGCATTTTCAAATGCCTAAAAAATCATTCACCCTATCTAAGATCTATACAAACCACATAGTACACATGTTCCTAATCATAACAATTTGTAGTCCAAAATTGATTTAAAATTGTGGCAAAGGCAGCACATTAATCGAAATAATCGCTGGCTTGTGGGAGTTATTAGATCAGCAAACCAGTTCACGGAGTACTACTACTGTGTGTAGTATGTACCTGGGCCATAGGATTTCCAGCAGGCCCCATGGCAATGAACTGGGCATGTCTATAAAAACATCAATATTTTTTTGTGGCCGGGACCCTTGGCCGTAAATAGCCCGAAACGCATAAACATGTCTAATGTGTGTGTTGTGCTGTGTTGTTTTGTTTGTTGTTAGTTTCTGCTGTGTGTGTTATTGTGTGTAGGGTGGGAGTTGAACTTGTAGTTCAATAAACCCACCGCAAAGCTAATTACGATGCCCGGCAGCAGCAACTAAAATTAAAATTTAACTACAATATAATATGTGGAGAGGTGGATGAGGGCGCATAAAAACACGAAAATAGTTTTTTGTGGTTTTTTCTTGTGACAAATTGTAAATTTAATGGCAAATAAAATAGTCCGAAAAAAGAGCGAGCGAGTGCCTCACTCTCTCTAGATCGCTCTGCGTAATTAAAAATATAAATGAAATGGCAATTGAAGAGCCCCGAATACAAATGCCCCGTGCAATCAGCTTTCTTCACGCTAATATTAGCAGCCGCCGCAGAAGCGAACGGAGAACGGAGAAAGGAGAAGGGGCTTTGTTGGGTGTGAGTAGAATAAATGTTACACAAAATTTTCCACCGAAGAAAGTTTTTCCCCTTTTTCGGCTCTTGTTTATCTTTGGGATATGTTTAGATTTTCATTTTCGTGGCCAAACCAACCGTGGAGCGAGTGGGCGGCGCCGGGAGCAAAACGTCAATTCAAGCAAATTGAAAATCTGCAAGCTAAAAATCGAAACTGAAAACTGTCAAAGCCGAATGCTGCCGCCAGATAATTAAAAATAGTTTTTGCCATTCGCTCTTGGTTTGCCTATGGGTTTCTTGGTTTCAATTTCGTTTCGATTTCGATTCTAGACTCTCGATTCATGCCGATTTCCACCGATTCCCAGCGTCGTCGTTCGATTGTATTATTGGCCCAATAAACTTTGCCCTTTGCAAGTTGGCCCTCGGCCAACAGTAGAGAACTGTTCCTTGGGTGTCGTCGGTTTGCCAATTAAAAATGCATGAGAAGCAGCAGACTGGTCAAGATTGATAGTAGCCATGCGGGTGCAGGTGGGCCGTTATCCAGGTGGCAATGTTTGCCTTTGATCAGTGATTAATATCAGTCATTTGTACAAGTTCAAAGGAAAGGCAATTTTCCATTGATAAAATGCACCTTAAATTAGTTTTATTACCCCTTTCTTTTACTTATTTCTATAGAATTCATATTTAACTGCCTGATAAACACCTATCTAATCTGGCAAAATAAATCGCTCTGCCATGGTGAAGGCTCCTCTTGTCCAAGAGCAATTATCAGTCATTAAATATGGCACTCTTAGTCACTGACAAACGCCAATCTACACTAATACGCATATGACTTTAATATATGTATAATTATATATATTTTTTTTGAACAACTCACCTTAACAAGCAAATTCGCTGGCCGAAAACATTTGTGATGGAAAGGCGAGAAATATGATTTGTGCAGGCTTTTGGTTTTGGTTCACTGAAAGCAGAAGCAAAACAGAATTGATTAAATTTATTGATTAGCGCACAGCTAAAAAATCTCTTAACAATTAGATCATCGATTATAAATTGTGAGATGTATTTCAACATTAAAACTAACATATTTCATGATTAAAATCCATTGGTAAGACCCCATATTTTCTTCAAGTGGCTAATTCTATTAGTTGATCTCGAGCTTGGCGGCCAAAATACGTCATCTTCTGATCTCTGACGGTTGTGTATAATTAGGGAAAGTGAATCATGTGGCTAAGACTAAACTACCAGCGATACAATACTTTTTAAAAAGTGCACATACTCGATATAGATGGAAAGAAATGTATGTATTTGTAAACAAAAATTGTCGGCCACCCTTGAAAGAGGGTTTCCTAGAACATTTGTGCTATTGTTCTCGTCGTGGGCACACATCCGGCGACTGTTGAATTTCAGATTTGAAGTGCCAATGACATGAGCTCAATTTAGATTTAGATCTGTTTATATATAATGGCAAAATTCCGCCCCTCACTCACTCACGAACCGATCAAACATTGTCGCCTGTCAGCACTTTGAATATTCGCATTGAACGTTGCTTCTGTTCACTGCCATTAATTGGCCTTCGCTTTGACTCCGAGTAAAATGGCATGCAAATGCAATTTGTTTGGATGATTTCAATTGAGAAATTGAGAAATTGCATGGGGTGTTTGCATGGAGATTCAAATCAATAAATCGCGAAAAGTGTTTAGTCAATAAAAGGATTGCTAAGAAGCCATGAACCTCACTTACATTTGAAGCAGTTTATGCTGTTTTTATTATTTATATAGTAAAGCATTTCCTTGACCATAAACCATATTTGTTTAGACCCGATTACCCTGGTAATTGATAATTATACATTTTATATCGCTATTACCTTCATTGCGGTTAGACAAAAACTCAAAAAATCAATATCTTTGCACGAATAAAATATGCATATGGGAAGCCAACTTGTAAAACCACATGAAAAAGTTGTTAAAAGATTAAAAAGCTTATTTTTTCGTTCGACATGACATCATACAATATTTATCTCGGATTAGGACATGAAATTTATGGAAGTCTGACCTTAATTCTTTTCCATGGAGTTCAATTACCAGCGGATAATCCCCTGCTTTTATCCATCGCAAGGTACACTTGAGAAGTTGAAAACTTCGACTGGGAAATATAGGGCAACCCCCTATAAATTGAAATATAAACAAGCCGAGGAGGTGAGTGAGCCGTGCTAGAAGCTGTCGAAGCATAAAAACTTAATCATATTAAGAGCCAGCAAACCGGCTTTTAAAGGGTCTGATTAAACGATAGATATATGGATGGATGGATGGATGGATGAATGAAGCCACTCACCCGTTGGCTGAGTGAATAAACCAACTGGCTAAATGAGCAAAAGTTAATGCCTGACTGACTAAAAAACTGGAATACCAAGCTGAACCGGGTTAAAATCCACATAGGTAGGCGTAACAAAGGTAGCATGTTACAGTTGTCTCAACTAACAGCTCAGAGCTACAAATTGCAAATTCTTATTCAGCCGAGCAGCGAACTTTTGCAAAGGGGAAAATGCACAGCACAAGCCTGGGGGGAAAAACACAAAGCTAACGAACCCCACAGCACGTCAAAACAAAGGAGCTTACCCACTTGGATCATGGTCACGATGATGATGATGATGTCTGTCAGGTTTTAATTAATAATAAAACTCCTCCCCGGAGACTCGCGGCGAAAAAAAAGTGCAGACAACAAAAAGCGTGAAATGGAAAACGGACACTAAGCAACGCAATGGACACTCTGATGATGTATTTTTGATAAATTGTGAAAGCGCCTGGCCCAGACGACAGCTAATTGACGCCCCAAACTCCCAATCTCCCAACACCCAATTTCCCATTTCCCCGACTGTGCGGCATATGTTATTAAAGTGGCGATAAAAATGCGATTAATAATGAAGCAAAAGGCATACAAAACAACACACAAAAGCCCATCACGTGAAAGGCCAACAAACAAACGAAAAAAAAGAGAAGAAATACACAAAATGCTGCAAATGCGAAAAAAAAAGAAATCATATGAAAATGCTGAACTCCGGCCTCATAAAAGATAAACAATTTTACGCGCTCTCTTCGACTTTGAAAGCCGATAAGCGTCACTAACTAAAAATAGAGGGAAAAAGTGTAAAAGTAAGTGTAAAAGACACGCTTGTCCTTGGCCGCAACTTTATCTAATTTGGCTCATATTTTATCAGTGTCACAACAAACTGCGCCATATCAATTTCCCCTATGTATATGGGTTATTAGGGGAGAAGGGAGCGATGTTTTTAGAGGGTAAAATAGTGCTCCTCGAATTTCATGTCCTGAAGGAGAAATGTTAATGGTTTTTCAAGTGCTTCACATATGATTACAACAGGGTCTTCTTCCCTTTGCAACTGTTAACCCATTGTGGTCATAAAAATGCACTTTATGGCATTCACACCCTACAGAAAGGTCAACTGCAATTGGCTTAATGGCTACGCTTGGGGTTTAATAAAAATGGGAGTGGTTTAAGGATGACAAAGGATAGCTTTGTCAGGGTTTTTTATAGTTATTAAACCTGGTTTCCGTTTAGAAAATAATTTAAAATTCCCCCTATAGTTAAGACCAAAAAACTGACATAATTTATAAAGCATTTTGATAAAAAAAAAACCAACATATGCTAATGACCATTTCCATTGCCACCTAGACAAACACCATTAACGTCTCTCGAGAACCAACGTTCCATAAATGTGGCCCAAAGCGAAATTGCTAATGAAAATATTTCACACGAGCCTCCAACAAAAAAGGCTTCATAACAAATGTCACACTTTACACGTGCCCCCTAAAACGAGGCCTCAATTAGAGTCCAAATTAGAGGTTTCTTTGGGTTATACAGCTTAAAATACCATGCGAGCTAAAAAAGAGCAAACTTTGTTTGTTTTAAAATATAACAACGGAATAACAATTATCTTATCTCCGACTTAAAATACTTTTCGGCCAAAATTATTTATGCAGTCAGGGGCAAAATGTTTCTACTGAAAACCAAAGAGTGCTGTTCCATTGTTCATCGGCCTTTGCCAGTGCAATGTCATGACTTGACGACGCCAGCCATCGTCTCGGTGGTAGCCGTGATTGGTGTAAAGAAAATTGCCTCGACAGCAAAATGAGATCTGGAGTCAATGCTCCAATATACTGGACGGGGTTCAACGAATGGCGATTATTCCAGCGATTATTGTTATCAGAGGATGTTCGTGATTGCGACTCTCTTCATAATTTCTTTCTTGAGATTCTTCTGAGGATGGGTTCATAACTCTACAAGAGGACACCTCCTAGTCTGGTCTTTAATTTTAGATATTTCATATTTTACTCAAGAATAATAATAAAAATTCACGCCCTTCGGTAATTTCATGTAATTTGTTGCATTTCTTTGAAATAATGTCAAGGCTGGTGCATCAAATCTTTTCGACCGCTTTTCGCTGGCTCAACATAACGTTTTCCTACCCGCTTTCTGGTTTGAATCTCTTTTTTTTTTTTTTGGCAAACTTCAACGCTTGTCATTGTCGTGCTGCTGCCACGCCCCCCTGCAATTATGTCATATATAGCAGCACAGACTTGTGGCTGTGCTCCAGTTTCTCCCTGCTTTTGACTTTGTCACGCTTTTCCCAGCCAGCGATTTTCCACACTTGACTTCGCATTTCCCCCTGGTATCAGCTCCGCTTTTTTCCCACCTCAAACTAATAACTTTGTGTTTTGTCTTCCATCCATTTTCCGCGCGCATTCGTCTTGGGCTTTGGCTTTTTCCGCTACTGTCTCATTTTCTTTTTTGCGCCTGCCCTGGATTTCCATTTTGTCGCACTTGGTTTTTGCTCTTGTTTTTCTGGGCGATGCGATTGTGAAAAGCTGTGCACTAATGGCAGCTGTGAAATGCATTTATGTTTATGGTCTAGTTTTTCCATTCTTTGGGGCTTTTTTTCCTTTTTTTTTTTGTGTATTTTGTTTGAGGGCTTCTTAAGGGCAAACATTTATTCTTATTCTCCAGTCACATTAGTGCGAAGGCTAAGAGCAGCGTTAAAAAGCTGACTCGGAGCTTAGGAGTAAGGCATGCAAATGGAGTACAACAGACCAGGTGTTAACTTAGACACTCTAAAGTTTACTAGAAAGATTATGCCGTGTATACGATTTAAAGGTGATTAAGGGAGTATGTTAAAGTTCAAAACTAAATTTGTATCATTGCCTAACATCTTCAAGCTATTTCTCATTTTTATACCCTTGATTATTATATTTTAATTATATTATCATTCTATTTTAAATGTATTCTCGATCAGCATCAACAGGCGGGTTTTTCTAGCCATGTCGGAGAAAATAAAATTGCAACATTTCTTTTAAAAATAATCAAACATTTATTTTAAAAATGTACTATTTGAAATATTTTAGTATGCCGATATGTTAACATTATAAACCAAGTACAGAACTGCTTTCCAATTTAAGATTAATGTTTTTTCTTGCTTAGTTATGATAAATTTAAATTTGGTCCCCTGATTCATTTGCAAACTGAAAGGGTATACAGATTCTGGCATTAGCTTTCTTTATAGGTTATTATTTATTTTTTCAAAACTACAAATATTAATATGTCACATTCACAAATTTGTACAATCAATTTTATTTAACAAATAACAATATTATGAATCCAATCATAAATAATAAATTTATGCTTGTGTGTAAATATAGCCTGTATATATATTTTATATTAGTTATAAATTCCTATTCTTAACTAATTTTTCTTTGTATTAAAATTAGGTTTAAATGCAACTATCAAACACTTTGATTTATAAATTAATTTTTAATCTATCTATGTTTTTTTTTATAAACTTACTTCACATCGTCTACCCGAAGCAGTGCAAAATATGAATAACTGGTTTCTTTTAGCCAATCGTTCTCTTATTCAAATGAATAAAAGAAACTCTATTAATTATAACACAGCTTGGTGTGAGATTATTTACATAAAAATCAAATAAGATTACATACTTTTAGAAATAAGAAACACCCTATTATCGATCATCGGCCTAGACTCACCTTAATAATTTACAGATTCAACAGGAACTGCTTGATTTATGTGGTTATGGTTTTACGTTCGTCAGCGGTTTTTTAAGATTTCAATTTGGAAACGATTAAAATCGAAGGAAAGAAAACAAGATGAAGAATAAGAGGGGAAAGGCAATATTAGAAAGATAAAATTGCACGCGAAAACCGGTTGCCGTTTATTGTTTACACCAAATCGGAAACGAAGTTGCGCGAATACAGATGTCCATGTCCAAGGGGGAGAAATGTGGGGGGGAGTGGGGTGGGGGTACTGGAAATCGGAGTCGGTATTGGAATCAATAAAACAAACACACCACGAAGAGAACACATGGAAAGTGCAGGCGGGCGGCTGCAGTACACAGATGATTTTCCGTTATTTCGGTTAAATGCACAAATAGGCGAATCGTGACGCGTGAAGTGAGTGTAGAGTGGAATCCTGGCGCTATAAAAGTGATTCATCCATTCGCTTTTCTCGCTTCTTGCCGAGAGATATGACAAGATAAATAAATGCTGCAGCACAAGCACACAAACACACACACTGGCACACAATACACCCTGGGCAGGCACACTCGGACACCCCCGCGGACACGCACAGACGAGGCTTCACTGTGAGTATTTATTAATATATTCCAGACACGCGGATCGGATCCATATATACATATATTCGATTCATGGCGACGGCGGCGGCGACGAAAAGAAAAAAGAGAATTCAGCAGCTCTGAAAAACAGAACACACGCGTTGGTCCGTTCCTTTGTTTTTGCTTCTTTTAGGCGGCGCCTATGCACTCCCCGCATTATATAACGGCACTGGGATATCCGAGCATTGTTGCAACAAATTGCAGAGTATCACTTGGACCACCAGCACTTACACTTTCTCGCTAGTCGCTTCAATTTCGCGTCCGACTCGCTTGCTGGTTCTGTTTTTTTTAACGTCCGCCGTCCGCAGTGTTGGTAGGTGTTGATATCAAAATATCATATCGATATATTTTCTATCGTGATATCGAACTCGCGATATTTTATTGATATTTTTTGATATTTGCTCTTTGGTCACTCTGAATTCAAGTTAACAGAACTTTCTGTTAATGAGAGGCTAACATAATTTTGTCTATGGAATTTCCCGAATGAGAGTAACAGAATATTCTGTTAAAACTGAGCTCTCCAAGGGGTGGAAGAACATCGATGTTGGCATTGATGTTATCAAAACATCGATATTTTTTATTTTATTCATTTTTATTTATATTTCAAAGCAATTAACAGAATGTTCTGTTAAACGAGAGCCTAACAGCTCGTTAACAGAATTAAAGTAACAGGCTGTTAACATCAACGAAAAGTCTGGCAAGGCTGGTAGCTCGTGTGGCAGCGTTGCCAGACTTTTCGGTCACAGCGACCAAAAGTACCAGATCTGGGTTTTTGGGATTTTTTAGGGTAAAAGCTAAATCTTCATTTGGCAACACTGCTTTCCGCATAAATATTTTTCCGGCTTTTCTTTTGGAATGGTTTGTTATTTCTTTTATTTGCTTCGAATTTCCTTCATTTCCCGCCGAATATCTTAGTTCTCGCTGCTGCACTCGGAAGAAAATGCGCACGACAATGCGCTGTGGACCTGCACCTGGGGCCGCGACACCGCCGATCCCCATCCGGACGATGCCACCACGGAGCCGGAAGAGGAGAACCCCTTCGATTTCGACAAAAAGGAGGCACGTCCCAAGGATTTTATAGTTACAGGTGGCCTGGACGATTTGGTAAAGGTGTGGGATGTGCAGGAGGACAACACACTGAAACTGCGCCACAAGCTAAGGGGGCACGCTCTGGGAGTTGTCTCGGTGGCCATAAGTTCGGATGGACAGAGTAAGCAGGAGAAAATTAACGTTGCACATCGAACTCCTTACTCATCCAACTTGTCCTGCTTTTAGCCATTGCCAGCAGTTCCCTGGACTCCAGCTTGTGCTTGTGGGATGCCCGGACGGGCGACAAGAAACACCTGCTCACATTCGGACCCGTTGATCTCTGGACGGTGGGCTTTTCGCCCTGCAACAAGTACGTGATATCCGGATTAAATGACGGCAAAATCTCCATGTACAGCGTGGAAACGGGGAAGGCGGAACAGACGCTGGACGCCCAGAATGGCAAATACACGTTGAGCATTGCCTATGTGAGTCCATAATAAACCTTGAATTCTTGCTCTAACTTTGTTCAATTTTCCAGAGTCCGGATGGCAAGTACATAGCTAGCGGAGCTATTGATGGCATCATCACCATCTTTGATGTGGCGGCGGGCAAGGTGGCACAAACTCTGGAGGGACATGCAATGCCCGTTCGCAGTCTGTGCTTCTCGCCCAACTCCCAAATGCTTTTAACTGGATCCGATGATGGTCACATGAAGCTGTATGATGTGTAAGTGGTTTAACCCCAAGGTAAATGCGACTTTGGATAACCTTTGGCTCGATTTTGGCAGGGCCCACTCGGATGTGGTGGGCACTCTTTCCGGTCACGCCTCCTGGGTGCTGTGCGTGTCCTTCTCTGAGGACGGCAAGCACTTTGCCAGCTCCTCCAGCGATCGCAGTGTCAAGGTGTGGGACACCTCGGAGCGCAAATGCCTGCACACGTTCACTGAGCACTCGGACCAGGTGTGGGGCGTGCGCTACAGTCCCGGCAACGACAAGGTGGTCTCCGCCTCCGAGGACAAGTCCCTGAATATCTACTACTGCCCGCCCAACGCGATTGTGTGATTCGAGTGTTCCGTACAATAAAGCGTAGGATAAGAACAATAAACGAATGGATTTATTTACGGATTACTCTCAGGGTCTGACTTGACGCGCAGGAGCGGTGTCTTGGCCTGTGTCAGCATCGTATCCTGGTACTTGTGATCGGGTATGTACATATTGAACGTTTTAAAATAGTGCAGGATGTTCTCTGGAAGACGAGCGGTTATCGAGCGATCACTAAGCATTCCTGATTTTGTGATAACTCACCCACATGCGGCTCTTTGAGCTTGTATTCATTGGCTATCTTCTTGGCCGGCCAGTTCTCCGGATCCAGCTGGTGGTCGTTGATGAACTTGAGGGCCTGGCGCAACGTGCAATGTCCGCTACTAATCCTCGTGGGCTCCAGGTAGCCATACTCGAAGTCTTCCGGGGTTTTGCGCTCCAAGGGCAGAGGTCGCTTGTCCGGCTGCTCCGACGCCGCCTCCGCCGCCTGGCGCTCCTGGACGCGCTTTATCTAAGAGAGAAATATCAGTTCCTGGAAACGTCGCTACTTTTAGTAGAAACCCACAAATCGATCCTGCGACGTTACATAAACATCTTTCAATCGGCTGTCCAAGCTGGCGTCCTTCCTGTTCAGCGTGTCCACGAACTTGGGATCCACTGTGAAGCGAAAAGCAAAAGCTTTAATATCGTCCTGAGATTTAATTTAAACCCAAAAAGACTCACATTCCAAGGTGCGCTCCATGTCCCTCAAGTTGGACTCGAATTTGGGCGCCGGTGTGGGTTTCTCGCGCTCTAGGACGCGGTGGGCACGATTCTCCGCATTGAAACGGTTGGCCCGGCGGGCCACCATTGAAACCACCTGTCCCATTTCTGTATAATGTGTTTTTTAATTTATGTTAGGCGAAAATCTCATCGAATCGTTGGAAAATAAAATAATTGCTGGGTAAACATAACCCAAAACAAAGAGTGTTGGATAGCGAGCAAAGTCAGCGACAGCTGTGATTCGAACAACTGAGCCGGCTAGTGTTGCAAAACACCCGCGCACCGGTTGCTTGTAAACAAACGAAAATTGCATTTTTTGTCTAGAAGTTTTATTGAGAAACCTCACAGCATGCTGCCATTGCGACGCAGCTGGAGCCTGGCCAGGTTCAACTACAGCACCAAGGCCAGGAAGGAGCTGGTGGCCCGCTACAGCGCCGAGTTCCCGGCGAAACTCATCAGCCGGAAGCATAAAGCGCCCGCCCACATGTATGTGGCGAATGCGGAGGCTGCCAATAGGATTGGGCAGTACTTGGAGCCGCATTTGCAGGGCTCCGGCTGCGACACTGTCATGGAACTGAATCCCGGAGCGGGTCACTTTACCCGGCACCTGCTGGGCAGGGAATCCCAGTTCCGGCGGATTTTGCTGCTGGAAAGCATGGATCACTTTATGCCCCGTCTGCAGGAGCTCCATGCTTTGTATCCCGAGCGGGTAAAGGTGCGCCAGGGCGACTTTGTCAACCTGTGGAAGCTGGTTTACATGGACAAGATGGATGGCGGTACCAGGGTGTCGGATCTCCTCAACGATGTTCCTCAACGTGCCTTTAATGATGGTAAAGATTTAATAATATCTTGAAGGTACATATTTCGAACCTTATTTTGCCACCAGATATCAACATGCTGGTCTTTGGCGCCGTGGGCTCCTATCACTTCTTCAAGCACCTGATCAACTCGCTCATCTTCCAGACCAGCCTTTTCAATCTGGGACGCTGCGAGATGATTCTCGCCATGCCGCCGCCCATCTACATAGTAAACATAACGCAACGAACCTCTTTTTAAAACAGCTTTAATGATTCATTTCCCCCACAGCACCTGACCTGCACCAACGAGATTGGCTACCTCATCTACCGCTCCACCAGCGTGCTGTTTCAGATTCTGTTTGAACACCAGTTCATTGCCAAGGTGCCACGCGAGGATTTCCTACCCATGCAGACCGACTATAACCCCAGAAAGGGCAGCAAGCTTGTCAAGGTGCGGTCCATCAATCCGGAGTATCTGTACCTGGTGAAGTTTGTACCACGCCGCAATCTCCATGAGCTGTGTCCGGTTCAGGATCTACCCGCCCTCTGGTTCTTTATCAAGCAGAATTTCGTGAGCCGTCGCAATCGCATAATCCCTAATTTAGAGTAGGTATAAACAAGCATCCTTTATAGCATATAATTAATTCAAACGTATAATTCCTTCAGGAAGTGGGTGCCCGGCTGTGGACCGCGCCTCATCATCAATCCAAAGGCCCCTAAACCCGTAAAGCCCACCTATCCGGACGAGTGGCCCCAGAAGCTGCCGCAGTACTCCAGCCAGAGCACCTCGATGAGCCTGAAGAACTACTATCCGGCCATCAATATTTACACCCAGTTTGGCGATCTGCTGCCCAGCCAAATGCTGACCCTGTTCAGCCAGTTCCGACAGTGGCCAGAGTATGGCGAGAGCTCGTTCCTGGCCTCGCTGGAGAATGCACTGCTCAAGCTGGAGACTGCCAACGATGAACAGAACTTGGAGGACGGCGTCACGTTGCCCGAGGAGGATGACGTCGATGCAGACGAGCTGCTTGAAGAGGAAAACCCTGAAGTTCCCGCCTCTACCAAAGCCAAGAGCCGGAGTAAATCCAGCTCCTAGTTATAACAATTATCGTTGCTTAGGACAAGTGGGAAGACTTCTCTTCGCTTGTAAAATTTGTTTAGGAAAGTTTTTTTTTATTAAATCGAAGAAAAACTTTAAACTATTTGTTAGTTTTTGAAAATCTCCACTGGGTTATACAGCACCAAAACGGAACACAATTAATAGATAAGGCACAGATGAGTTGACCTTCTAGACGCACTTTCCCTGGACCGAGAGGCGACTGCCGCGGCCGCACTTCTCGGCCAGATCAATGTGGTATTCTGGGGGAGCCGCCTGCTCCTCTGGCTCCGCGATGCGCGTATCCAGTTGCACCGACAGCTTGACACAGTCCACCATCAGGGTGGTGGGATTCACGCCAAGCACAAAGGTGGCCTCCTTGTAGGGACAGGGATTCTCCTCGTGCTTGGTGTTGCCGAACTGGTAGCAGCTGTTGCGGACCATAAAGTGTCCATCGCGACCGCACGGATTGCGCACGCACTCCGGTATAATCCGCTCCTTGTAGAGCACCAAGATCTGGCCAGTCTCACAGGGACCCTGCCGATAGGCTGGATAGCAGGCATCGGTCTCTGGGTAATACAGCGTGGCTGTCAACGGGGGAAGTACCATGATTATTATGTCATCGCCGCGGTAGCTCCATTACGACTGCTCTCTCTCTTACCTGGCGCACAGTCACAGACCCAGTCATTCTGCTGCTGCTGGTCGCCGGGATAAAGCAGCTGGTACTTGGGGCATCGGGCTGGGGAGTAAAGCGGCTTACGACCCTGGGAGGCGAGTAAAAAATTTTTAAAACTGATTTATTATCTTGTGCTAAGCGTGCGTCACTACTCTTTCGAGGAGTACTTGGACTTTGTATACAGTTTTTGGCCATTTTTGTAAACAACTTTTCGAACTGAGAATTTTGTTTTACATATTTCTACCAATAAATTAGCCTTAGTTCAACAAAATAAAGATAATAATATAATACGGATACTTTATATATTTTTAAAGGCAATCTTCAGTTTATTGGGCATAAACATACTTAAAATTATAAATAAGAAAATACCTCAAGGAATTAACTTTATTCATTCTCCTGTCGTTATTTCCAATCCTATTTATTTATTTCAAATATTCTATATCATTTTCTTAAATTATTTGGGAATTTTTCATCAGAACTTTCATTTTTATATTCCATTTCTAGCAGTGTAAAGAATTGTAACACGAATTTCTTTATAATTGCAAGTTCCCTTATTATTAATTTAAATGGAAGCCAATCAGATTTAAGTGGAAGTTAAAATACCTTTTAAGGAAAACTGGATTGGTTTGGGAAAGTTCGCATTACTGTGTAATTATTTCAGATTCACTTTCACTAAAAAGGGCAGGGAGATGTGTTCCAAGATAAATAAAATAAGCTCTAAAGAGGGAAATAACTTTTTGTAAGAATATAATTCGGGTACATCTAGATTTTGGAAAGGGCATACCCAGCTGGCTTTCCTCTCTTTGGATTTCCTTATCACACACAGCCTAAAGCTCGGTTTGGAGCAGCTTACCGCAAGGTTGGCCTTCTTCTTATCAATGTCTTGGTCCTCCACAAAGGCGATTTGGGCGCGTGCCACTTTCCCAACGAGTGCGAGGAGGGCGAAGATGAGCAGCAGGCGGAGATTGATCATCGTCTACTCTTTCTCTTTCTGTTGTGATTAACGGGTATGCAAAATCGGCGCGATACTGACGTCTTTACAAGATAACACAAACACAAAACAAGACTTCACTTGGACGTTTTCTGAGCTTCCAACATCGGCGGAGAACAGCTCCAGACTATGCGAATCCGCTCTCATTGGATTCCGATCAGAGTCTCTATAAAGCTAGTGTTGCAAAGTCAACAAAGATCGAAGCTTAATCAAAGCTTATGTATGTATGTGTGTCTGATTGGAAAATTCAATTTAAATTAAATTAACTGAACTGCACTGAAAGTGATTTAGTTTAGGAAAAAGAAAACATATTTTCGTGTTATTACATTTTCATCGACTATCTTATTTTCAGAGGCATTTTCTGATTGACATTAGATATAACATTTTTAATATTAATATATTATTCTATTTACTAAAATAACAAAATATTATCCCATTTTATTTAAGTTTTTGTTAAGATATTTTATTCTTATCTATTTGTAAATCAATAGCTTTTTATTGATTAAATAAATTATTTGTTAAACAAAATCTCTTCATGAGTCTTAATTGCAGACTCCGTAAGAGCTCTATATTTGTTTAAATTAAGAGATAAACACTGAAATTATTAAAAGTTCAAATTACAGGTTACAGGTTGCCGGACAGCAGAAGGAAAACCATAACCCAACCCACGACGTTGCCATACCGATTGCACATCGTAACTTTTCAACACTGGACGCTCTGTCTATCGATGAGCCCCCATCACCTTTCGATATTTTCCTTTGTCAAAAAAAAAAAGTAAATAAAAAAGTAAATAAAAGAATTTTATTTCCCAGCGAAACAAATCAAAATCACCTTACAACAAATGGACGACGAGGAGACAGCAGGTGAGTCCGGAGTCTGTAAACTTCATCAATTATGCACCTGCTAACCTGTGTACGACGTTTAATTGCGCAGAAATTAATTCGGGTCACGGTACGACAGACGCAGCGGGGGCCCAAGGCTATGCCAATGGTGGGCCAGGGGGGATGGGGGAGCCGAGAACGCAGCCTCCCGAGGATGCGCATGAAGTCGAGCAGATACAGCTGCAGCTGCAGCCCCAGCAACAGGAGGAACCACAGGAAACTGGGAACAGTGCAATAGATCCCCTGCAGGCAGCAGAGGAAGATGAGGTTTTCGCAGATCCAGAGGCGGAGCGGGTCAATCAGAACGACACCCAGGATGTGGGTACCGACACTCCCGATGCGAGTAGCGACATGTCCTTGGAGAGCCGCGGCAGCGAAGGTGAGTTGAACTATTTGGATTCCTGTCCGAGGTGGACACTTAACTCTTGAACCACTTTCCCCCCACAGATGATTCCGATTTAGAGGCCCTGCCCCGCTGGATGATTCCTCCAAACCGCCACCTGTCTGCTGTGGAGCAAATGGTGGCGCAGGCCCGCAACCGGGATGGAGGAATAGCTGCCCTGCTTAACCGGGACAATTTCCTGCAGCGAGTGCGGAGCATGGTCTTCAGCCAGGAGCGGCGTCGCAGTCGCACTAGCGACGAGACCAGCCAAGAGGAAGCCGAACCCTCGAACCCAGCCCTGCCACCACCGCCAGCACCGGCACAGCCAGACATCGACATGGAGGAGGGTGTGCACTTCGACACCAATTTGCCGGCGGAGCACTCGTACTTTGGCACGCACCTGAGCCGCGTGCCAGGCGTGGACTACCTGGAGGTGGGCAGCACCCATCACATGCTCATCTTCCTGCACCAGCACATCCTCTTTCCCGGCGAGGTTCTGCCCTTCATGATCGACGGCAGCATGTTCGATGACGACATGCCTGGCCTGGATGGCCTGATCTTTGGCGTGGGCTTCCCGCTGATGCAGCCGCCGGAGAACAACCCGCACAAGTTGTACGGTGTCACGTGCCAGATCTACGAGCGGGGTGAGAGCGACCGAGAGTTGGTGTTCTACAAGTCTCGCGCTCTGCAGCGCATCGTCATCAACTGCGACGATATCCAGGGGTGAGTGTTGGGAGTTTCTCCACCTGAAATCCTTTTGACAATCTCCAAATGTCCATTCCTTAGACCGCCGCACTACATAGCCCGCAATCCGACGACCAAGTGCTTCAGCAAAGTCAAGGTTCTGCCCGAGTACTTCCTGCCCGAGCCCCTGCAAACCGTGGATATGGGCTCAATGGCCCGGTTTAGGGATATTTCCTCGATGCGGGACCAGTACCGCCGGTTCCAGTTGGCCAGTACTCCCTGGCCGGCGGATGCCTGCCAGGAGTATGCCTTCGACGACATCGTGGAGCGGGCACGCAAGAAGCTGGAAATTCACAAGATCAACACCATGCCAAAATGCCCCATCCAGCTCTCGTTCTGGCTGGTGCGCAATCTCCACCTGAACGAGAAGATGATGCGACTGACCTTCCTCACAGACTCGGTGAACACTCGCCTCCAGTTGATCGGGAGCACGCTGAAGGAGGAGTCCTTCTTCTACTGCCGCTATTGCAACAGCAGCCTGGCCCATTGCTCGGATCTATTTGCCATGTCCAAGCACGGGGTGCAGACGCAATACTGCAATCCAGGTGAGAGTTACTCCCATTCCTATTCCTCTTATATCGATGCTAATTTCTGTACATATTCCTTAAAGAGGGCTACATCCATGAGACAAACACCGTTTACCGTGTGAAACACCATGCCATAGGCTACAGCGGCGAGCCATCCACCAAATTCAGCTGGTTCCCGGGCTACCAGTGGCACAGCATCCTGTGCAAGTTCTGTGCCCAACACGTCGGCTGGGAGTTCAAGGCGGTGCAGCCCAATCTCACTCCCAAGGTGTTCTTCGGCCTGGCCGGTTCCAGCGTTCGGATTGGAGGTGCCAGCGAGAACACGGTCAACGGCAGCTCCTTTGTGGTAAGGAACATGCTGCGCCTGATCTCCAACGAGATGGAATGAGGCTGGCGCCTGCTGAAGCGATGCTTCTGCTGCTCCTGCTGCCGTTGTACGGATGACATTGCTTAAATCGCTGTGGGAAAGATTGATCTACACATATGGACGCGTATATGTTCTTTAGTTAAATAAATTATAACTAGTTGATATTTAAGATAATTTGAAACTAAAACTAAAGCTTTTCTCTAAGTTACACTGGAAAAAGGTTTTTTAAATTAATTTCAAAGAAATACTGAGCGGGATCTTGGCCTATAAGTCATCCAAAAGGGCCACAAAGGAGGTGGAGAGTTTCTGCAACACGGAAAACAAGGAATATAGAAGGCAAACCAAATATTATGTCCAACACTTACCGCCTTGCAGAAGGGGCACAAACCAAAGGAGACCTCCAGGAAGGTCTTGCCCTCCATCAGGGTCTGGAACCACTCCTTCAAGCAGGCGGCATGGCAGTTGAGCACACACTTGGTGTTGTCGCAGGAAACGAGGGGCACTTCTCCGCCGTCCAGGCGGTATTCAAAGCAGATATTGCAGCGCTTATCCTCGTCATCCTGCTCCTTCTGTTTGGGATCATCGGTCCACTCCGGCATGGGAAAGTAGCACAGATCGAAGATGCGGAGCAGGTTCTTGTGCATGTCCAGTTCGGGGTCCCAGTTCCCTAGGCCGTCGCTCAGCACGTGCCGCAGACGAGCCACCTCCTCCGTTGGCCCAATGATCTTCAGAGCCATGGAGGCAATGCAGGCGAAGGGGTCAACGATGGTCACCTTGAGGAAGACGCGTTCCTTGAGCGGGAACACCCGCGAATTGTGCTTGGTGGTAACGGGAGATGGCTGCAGCACATGGCACAGCTCGTCAATGTCCATGAAGTTGTCGTAAAAGGGACGCAGCTCCTCCAGCAACTTGCGGAAGAGTATGAGTACCTCCTCCAAAGACCTCGCACTCTTGACCATCATTTCAGCCAAAGGAACGCAGTCGGGCAGGCTGTGCTGCAGCAGTCGCAGAGAGGGCACCTCCAGTTCCAAATAATGCTGTTCGTAGTCGACAAACTCGCAGAAACGAATCCGGGAACAGGCATCGTTGGTCTGCAGACGGTACTCCTTGGGCTTGTTTAGCGCCAGGATGTCGGCGTATATGTTTCCCTCCTCCCGGGCATCCTTAATGCAGGATATGGCTTCTTTGATGGGCAGAATCTCTTCTAGATTTCCCAGCAAGTCCTCCAGCAGCCAGTCATCCTGAACCTTCAGGTTATCAGCTGTATAAAGCTTGTATTCCAAGTGTTCCTGAACGTACAGCTGGAAGCCATGGAGTGAGGGATAATGGGGTACATAAAGCTTCAAGCGACGCCAGTTTCCCTGGATTAATATAAAACATATTAATCTTGGCGGGAACTTTGGGTGTAATGAAACTTACTTGACTGCAGAGAACTCCACGAATAATGCAAGCACCGTTAGACTGTTGCTCCGCCAGCAGGCCAGGATGCTTGGCTGCCAGGAATAGTTCCAAATCCCTTTCCCCACTGTCCATAATCTTGTATTTTATGCAAAAAGAAAACTATTTAGGTCTACGTTTGTTTACCTTTTTGAAACACCCCGTAAGAGATGGCGATTCAATAAGTAACCCGATTGTTTAGCTAATCGATTACTTTATCGACAATCGGTGGGTAATTCAAATGTGATTGAGATTCTATTTACGCCAAATTTACGAATTGTAAACAAATAGAGTGATAATCCCCCCTCCAGCTCACCTGCCGTAAGGAAAGAGAAACGGCAAGTCTTCGATTCCGCTGGCTTATCAGACAGATTTATGTGTTTTTTTGATAGTAATTCGTCAGAGTGTAACACCTGCCACTTTCAAGAAACACCTGGTGGCAGACCAGCTATCAATAGGCGCTGATCACCCGCTATATAAGGTCGGACGTCGGCCGAAATAATTTCATTCTCATCAGCAGCGTGAGTGCGAAGACATTGTAGTTTTACTCCAACCAAAGATAACAGTAGGCGGAAGTTCCACACTACCGAAAATGTTGCGTGTTCTCTTAGTTCTTTCCTTGGTTTTGGCCACAGTCAGGGCCACCACTGTGAAGCAGTGTAAGTCCTTTTTGTTTTGTAATTAGACCTTAAATTGGTTTTCATTTATTCAAAGTAATTATTTAAGTTTTCATTTCATTCATTAATCACAATCTCTTTGAAGTTCTTTTGTAACTCTTGAAAAGTCTCCAAAAGTATTTCTTAGTCACCTTTACCTAGTCTACTTTTGAGCTCACCTGTTGCACTGCTTGTTTTTTTTTTCCTTTTCAGGCAAGGACAAGCCGTTTCCCCTATCCGTGAATATTCAGGACTGCGATGAGCCGCCATGCATTGTCTACAAGGGCACAGTTGCGGTGATGGAGGTCCACTTCCTGGGCAGTAAGTTGGAGCCGCTCCTCCTAAACACACATCATTTATCCTTTAATTGTTTTCCGGCAGATAACAACAACATCAAGAGCATCACGGCCACCACAACTGCCAAGGTCCTGGGCATGAATCTGCCGTACGACCTGCCCGAGGAAGTCTCCGATGTGTGCCGCAATCTCCTGTACGGCGCCATGTGTCCCATCGACAAGGACGAGGATGTGACATACCAGTTCAACTTCTACGTGGAGCCTGCGTTCCCCGAGATCACGGCGGATGTCACTGTCACCCTAAACGACGAGGATGGTGAACCGATTACCTGTTTCATGGTCAGCTGCAAGCTCCGGAAGGGAGCAACTGCGACGCAACGAGACGAGTACTTGCTGGACTGGACGAACCCCCATTCCGAGTAGCGGCCACGACGATGCACTCTACACCAGCCGAAAACATCACAAAATTACAATCCTTGTTGACCAATAATCTTCACATTTTTGCAAACAAAAACTGACTTTCCGTTAGTTTATCTTTTTTAAAAAGCATGTTAGAGATGAGAGGTAATCGATTCAAACTAATCGATAACCTTTTCGTTAATCGGCGGGTAGTTTAATTTCTTTGTTTATACTTCATAAGTCAGTTTAAGAAGCTATTTTTAGGCAAATCAGAAGGATTTTCCTGTGTTTCTTGGTTATAAATGCAACATTGTTAATCCACTGCAAGGAAGAAATGCCATAATAACATTGATTTTGCCGGCTTATCAGGCAAATTTACGTTATTTACTGTTTCGATTCCGGCGATTCCACTGTTTGCTTTTCGTCAGAGCGCAAGCACCTGCAGGCCGCACTGTTTTCATATTTGTAACACCTGCGTGGCGGCCGCGGCGGTATCAATAGCCCCCGCCACCTGATAAGCCGCTCTCCCGAGCCACTGGTCATTGCACGGACGGACGGACTCCAGCTATTTAAGGTTCTGCGCCGGCCACAGTGACTCCATTCCCCATTCACGGCTATCAGCTGCGTGCGCGCGTACCGAAGACATTGTAGTTTTGTTCTTTACTGGCCAGAGATTACAGGAGGAGCTTCCTCGACAACGAAAATGCTGCGAATTGTCTCAGTTTTGGCCTTGATTTTGGCCACTGTCAGTGCCACCAATGTAAAACAGTGTAAGTACGTTGCTTGGAGCTTTCAGTTATGTAGCTAGGATACCGACTTATGGATTTTAAATAGAACAGGGATTCAAGGTCGCAAAGTAATCCTTGGCCTGGTGGTGATTCATTTGTTAATCCCACAATCTCTGAGAATTTCTCTTGGAACTATTGCCAAAAATACTTTGGTGTGGAAAATAAAAGTCCTCAAGAGTATCTCTCGGCCGGTTGATAATAGGGCTTATCAGCGAGCGCCGGCTGGCTAATCTTGGCCTGCTTTTCCCGCAATTTCCTAGCCTACTTCTCGGCTCACCTGTTGCACTGCTTGACTTTCTTTTTTACAGGCAAGGACAAACCGTTTCCACTGGCCGTGCGAGTCGCGGACTGCGAGGAGCCGCCATGCGTGGTATACAAGGGCACATATGCGATAATGGAGGTCCACTTTCTGGGCAGTAAGTTGAAGCAGCTCATCCTAAATCCTTAAGCCATATCCTTTATCCTTTAATTGTTTTCCGGCAGATAACAACAACATCAAGAGCATCACTACCACTACAACAGCCAGGGTCCTGGGCATGAATCTGCCGTATGACCTGCCCGAGGAAGTGTCCGATGTGTGCCGCAATCTCCTCTACGGCGCCATGTGCCCCATCGACAAGGACGAGGACGTGACATACCAGTTCAACTTTTACGTGGAACCCGTGTTCCCCGAGATCACGGCGGATGTTACTGTCACGCTGAACGATGTCAACGGCGAACCGATCACCTGCTTCGTGGTCAGCTGCAAAATTCGGAAGGGAGCAACTGCGACGCAACGAGACGAGTACTTGTTGGACTGGACGAACCCCCACTCCGAGTAGCGGCCACGACGATGCGCTCTAGTCCAGCCACCGGGGCCAACTGACTTACTGAATATTATCACCATTATTCTTCGACGAGCAATAAACTCAGAACTCAGCAGCCGATAGCCGAAGCGTTTGTTTACCTTGGTGACCTACGTCATGGATTCCAGTGTACCCGGGGGCAGCAGCAGTCGCCGGATTATCACATTCACGGGCCACAGATTAGATGGTTGAACGGTCCGCGATTATTTATATATAGAGTCATCAATGACGTTGCTGTTTGCACCGAAAATCCAGTAATATATTTCCACTGATTCAGTGGCCGAGGCAGCACAATTGCCAATAAAATCGTATCGATAAATATTTATTGACTGCCAGCTTTAAATCGCGTTGACCATATGGTCAAAAGTTGGGCTACCCGTCCTGATAAGGAGGTAACCATTTGGCTAAGTACAATTCTACACTCGGCGGAATTATGAGCACTTTCTGGTAAAGATGATGGGATAAAAATAGTTTCAAGCTATTAGACGTAACGATTAGTGTGGTTTCTAAGAACCTTATCTTTGGCTGCCAAAAAAAAAAGGAATTAGCAAGGTACACACGGATACTTTATTTTAGTTTACTTAATTTAGTGGTGTAAAAAAAATAAATATATTTTAAAATAAAATTGGGTAATGTCAACTATACATTTATAACCAAGGAAATATTTTATTTGTTTACAAACTTTGCTTAATTAGGAGTGATTATTTTAACATTGTACGTATATAGAGCTAATATTATTTTAATTTAAAATATATATATATATATATTCTAGATTAAAAAAAAAATCACCAAAAAGTAAGCTGGAATTATTATTTTGTATTTGTATATTTCAGGCATGGAATGCTAGCAAGACATTTTAATTAAAAGTGATTGGATTAATGAGTTTTAAACTGTTTTCACTGTTAGTGACTTTGGATTTCCATGATGACAGCAATTTATCATCGAATACCAACTGAAGCCTTTCTCTAAATACAAAATATATTAAAAAAAAATATATTTATTTATTTATCAAAGTTTTAGTTGACTTTGTTAAGTATTTCTTTTTTAAAATGGCAAGTTAATTGAATTAAAATTGTTACTTTCTTTTTCTTTTCTTTTTTTGTTTAATATTATAAAGCCTTTTTCTATTTATGTAAAAATTTCTACTAATTTTAAAGAATATTTATTTACCACCGACTTTATAGTTGGCTTTTTTAAGTATTTATTTTACAGCAACTACTGGCATCTACTCCCTTGTTTTTGTTAAATATCACAAGGCAAATTGAGTGAGTGAGGTCTATTCAAAAGGCCCTAATTACAGTTTAAATAAAAACAAATATTATATTATAATAATTCGTGAGCCAAAGGCCTAAGCTGCTGAAAATCTGAACCCCCACATTAGCTTTTAGCTTAGAATTTAATGTAAGCTTAGATAAATAAATAAAAATCCGTAAATTACACAATTTAAGATCCCTGCTTAATAAATCTTAGCTGAGACTTTTGTTCAGTGCACTTGTCATCGAAAATAAATCAGATAATCTCTATGAGTTGCCGGGTTTTGATAGCTCGGTACATTTCTCTGCTTCTTGGCATTGCCCGCGAACAGGTGTGTTGGCTGGGCGCGTTTGAGCAGGTAATCAGACTCGAGATTTGCGAATTATTATTTGATTCGATTATAGCTTTTCGTCCACTTGAATTTACACCTTAATAGCAGCGTGTGCAGATAGCGGCGATGGCCAATAGAAAGCCCTGTAACCCAACCCAATAAACATGACCCAAGTCCCTTGTAGTACACTTTTAGGAAAACCTCCCCCACACATGTTGTTGGGATAAGGCTTTTAAAATTTTATTAAATATTCATGAGGCAGCCGAGAGTGGGCTCAGCGAAAGATTTTTTGTTTTTGAAAAAAAAGAAGGAAGCGAATTGTATATCACAGTAATTTAGACCAAGAAACGATTGAGTTCCGCTCCAGTTTAGGGCTACTTTCGGTTGAGATAGTCCAGCTGATAGACCGTGTTGCCGCCATTCCCCTTGACCACCTTGATGTCGCACACAAAGCAAGTGGCTACTTCCTTGTCCTGGTCCACCAGATAGATCTCAATTTTTACACCAATCTCCGGATACTCGCCGATGGGAAAACTGAACAAGTAGGTCACATCTTCAGTGGGATAAACCGGGCAATAGGCGCCGTACATAAGATTCGGACACACGGCAGCCACATCCGCTGGCAGCTCATAGGGCACCGTAATGATACCCAGAGTGGTGGCCTTCACAAGAGTCGTCATCTCGGTTATGTACTTGTCCACAGCGAAATCAATCTCAAAGTTCTGCGTCGATCCCTTGACAATATTGCAGGGCGGCGTCTTGCAGCCATGGACACGGACCTCCAGCGGAAAGGGTTTATTTCCCGAGCCTAAATGGGAATTGGAATCAGTTAATGGGTTTCTAGTGTATTCTATATCTATAGTGGCCACTTACATCGCTTCACTTCCGTCGCCGGATGCTCCTCCGCCGCCCGGACCACTGCCAAGAATCCCAGAGAGATCAGTATCAACGCCTTGACTTGCATGTTTCTCGCTTTGAATTGCTTTCGGCCAACGGTGCTGACATCGTTTTTATAGTCGGTTCCGAATGGAGTCGCCTCTTCGGCAAATACGATCGGATTCTTTCTATCTAATCACGGGCCAGTAGCCTCTGATTTCCCCGATTGGCGGATTTCTGGGCAATCGAATTGGGATCGCACCTCGCAGAAGATCAGTGCTGCAGCACTCGTTTGAGGGGATTAAAAAAAAGTTTGTATTTATGATTCTTTTTTATTAAGACTAATAATAACTTATTATATATGAATATGTATATATTTAACCTCTATTTTTTGATGACATTATTAAGTGTAAATAGCCAAATTGCTTGTTAAACAAGTGTTCAATGAACTAGTTTAAGCCCATAAAAAGAATTTTGAGAATGTCAAAACCATTAAAAGTGGGTCTAAAGTTTGCATTAGACCTAAACATGTAGTGAATTCTTTGCCTAAAAGACTTTTGAGTTTGGAAAGGCTTAAGGCTTAATCATTAAACAATTATTTATATACCATTATAAGAATAAAGTATTAAGTAAATCGAATTGACATGTGACGTATAGTATTGTATCGGGCTTTTGTGATTTTTTTAACGCTGTATAACGTACACCCATCAGCATTCCCGTCGGCTGCTGATCCTGTTCAATGTCCTGGCCGAAAGCTATAAGGTCGATATCAACGATTTAGTTATCAGGACGATAATGTTGCATGAGGTGAACAATTTACCGCGCGACCTGGGAAACTCCATGATCGCATTTGTGGAAGCGGTGATGGCCCGTCTTCAAGAGGGAAGGCAGAACCTTTTCCTGGTGGAAAGCGTCAATGTTCTTCATTTTGTGGAAGACGACAAGCTGGAGCAGAACTATAAATATTTAAGCAAAGCTCTGATGGAGCTGAAGAAACTTAAAATGGAGGCTCAAAATTTAGCGCAACGGGAAAGCAACCTGGAATACGACGAGTCCGACAATTGCAACGATAATGACTATAATAATGACAAGGAATCTTGGATGAAGGCATTATTAGAAATGTTTAATTGTTGCACAGAAAAGAAATTTTCACAAATAATTTTGGGCCCAAGATTGTAATGGATTCATTGATATACTTTATATTTAATAAGTGGATTTTCTTTGTTACTTTCAAAGTATGTAATAAGAGTTTAATTTGAACAACTAAAATGACATTATCTACCAAATGTATCCTTCTTTAAACATTTTGCCATATGTATATGAAGACCAATTTCCATATCAATAATTAATATAAGTTTCTTTTAAAGTGTTAAATGAGTTAAAAATCAATAAAAACCAACCCAAATAAACTAATTATTCTTGTGGAATTTCCCATAGAGATAATTCAGAATATGATTTTATCCTGACTAAAGGATAACAATAACCCTATAATTAAATACCTCTCATCTACTTAACCAAATCAAATGTAGTATCAATACCAATCTCTGCATCAATTCGCATCATTAGAGCCGCGTTCCGAATGGTTCGAGAGAATTTTATCACTTCATCGCAGAGAGTTCTCCCTGCCTGCGGGTGGAAGGAGGTCACAGGCGGTGCCAAAATAAATCCCAGAGCATGAGGACGAGCACTCCGCTGCCAGTGCCGCAAAGGCAGGCCACTAAGCCTGCTGATGGCAATGGAGAAACCCACAGACATTTGTGCCTTGGCCAAAGCCACTGACAATGGAACTTGGGCGGGGGGCAGGAAAATGTCCGGGTATAAAGGAAGCGGACTAAAAGTAAGCTGGAAAATGTAATTCCCCCTCCACTCAAAGGTTGGCGAAATTTTTTTGCCAAAGGTAAGTAAAGCGAGGGAGATACGAAGGGTTTGAAATGTTTTTGGAAAGTACTACGAGTATTTCGCAATCAACCCTCGCAATTTTTTTTTTTTGGCTTGGTGGTGACTTGGACAGCAGCAAAGCAGCAGGAGATTTCCTCAAAATGCTTTTGAACTCGCAAGGGGTGAGGGAAGGGAACTCACTGTCGTCACATGTAATTGTTGCGACATTATTTAATATGTCAAAGCAATGGAAAATCCGGCACGACACAAGAAATATATATGATATATCCCCGTCAGAGAGCTGGAAATGTATCTTAGGGAACCACAATATTTGATTAGCATCAGGCCAGAGTCCTGATACACATCGATTCCCTCCCACTCCTGCCCGATTCTATTTTCGGTGTCATCTAATGCAATTATCTGTGGGGGGGAAAATCTGATGCCCGGAATGCTTACACTCCGAAGTTGGTTCCGTTTCCGTTTGCACTTTTGGGTGCTCTCCTTTTTTGCATATTCCCAAATGTATTTCACAGATATATATGCTAAGCTTATCTTTGATGTGTGTGTGCGCCTTTTTCTTTAGAAATCAATAAGAAAGAGGGTAGGGGGAAAAGCTAAGAGCTCCTGTGCTGCTTGTCTATTGATTATTTTTTCCGGGCGAAAAAGTATGCAACACTTTCGGGGCTGGGGGAGGAGGAGTTTATTCAGTGTTTTCACTCACTAACCCCGCCCTGTTGCGCTGCTAACTCAATTAATTTGTCAAATCAAGTCAGACATCAAATGCCAGCGCCAAAGCCAAACAATTTGTCACGCCAATCCCGGCGTGTCCTGCCCCAGCTCCTGCCCCAGCTCGGTTGTCTGTTCTATTTCAATTTGATATTTGTTTGCACGTAACTCAATACCGGAGTGACATTGTGTCTCAATTAGGCGACAATTTGATTCTCGTGTTGTTAATTTTTCATTAAACTTTTCGGCGCGGCTGCCGTGTGCTGTCAATTAATGACGGAATTTCCCCAAAGGGCACGCCCAATTGCCCATGAACCCGAGAGAGAACACACCTCAAACCCCTCAACAGGTGCGCAGGACAACCCTTAAAACGGGTAGAGACCATATCCCGACAAGGACCTCGTCCTAATGGCATTTATAACTATCCAAGTGCATTCAGCTGTTTCCATTTTAACAAGCGAAATCCAAGTGTGTGGTCAGCCAAGTGACCAACTGGCCTTGAGACAATTTCCCAGCACTTTCCACCTGGTGAAAACCATTTTTTCCAAGATTTGCGGGGAGTTTTTCTCGCTTTGCTGCACACTTTGATATGACGAACCTTCAGCACATTTGCCAATAGCAATTTGCATATGTCGTCATGCGAAAATGTTTTTTATTAAATTTTCCAGCACGTCCAAGGGAAGCTAATTAATTTGCACCCAACCCCACAGAGACTGCTCTGCTTTTGGCTCTGTAATTAAGTGAATGCGAAATTCATGTTTCCCGAAATCAGGCGGAACATGCGTTGCAACAAGTTCGGCTGTCGAGTAATTTTCCCCTCTTGCGAAGTGTTGGCATTTGAGCCCAGGAGCCACCAGGACCTTTCCTCCTGGCAACGCAATTTCAGCTGAGAAATGTGCCTAGTTCGGGCGAAAAGAAGTTTCCCAAATTTGCATAAATATGTACAAGTCGCTCTCATTCTCCTTCGTATAATTAAAATGTTAGTTTGAAGCCTTGGGTTCCATAATTTGAGAGCTTGCCTGTAATTTCACCTGGCATTGGAGGTTATCAGGTAAGAGCTTGGAATTCCTAGGAAAATGCCTAGTGGTTTCCTTTGAACTGTAAATGTGTTTACCTTGGAAGTTAGATGGCTTTGCAGTGATATTCAGTTGTACAATGTTTTCAGTTTTGCCCTGGTATTAAGTGCAGAAAAGTGCAGGCGAATGCCTTGGTAATTTTGGAAATAAACTTGGAAACGCAAGAAAATATTAATCGATTAAATTAAATAAGGAGGCGATATATGTATGAATCAACATTTAATAAGTAAGAAAATATAAATAAAATAAAATGTATTTTAAATGTTAACAGTAAGAAAAACAAAAAATTATTCGGATAATTTATCGATAATTTCGATACTATTAAGGACAAAAATATTAAACGGATAACTTATCGATAATTTCGATATTATTAAAGACAAAAAGATAATTTATCGATTATTTCGATATTTCTAACATTAAATTTGAACAGTATGAGATATATATACATATATATTTTAAATATAAAATAGCTACATAAACTTTTAAGCCAAATGTTTGCATTAAAAACAAAACTAAATGTTTGTTTATATTTTCATAATAAATTATGCAGACATAAACCATTGAAAAATGTCACTTTAAATGCATTAAAACGCCATTAGCGCGCTTATTAATTATGTAAATGAAAATTAAACAAACTGTTCAGCCAATTGAGTGCTCAAAAAGATTCCGCCCCCTTTCAACCCGAATCCACGTAATCATTTACCCATTTGACGGATGATGAACGTAAACATTTTGGAAGCTAAGCTAATTTGCATATAAAACAGTTGAATTTGCGAACAAAATCTGAAAATATTGATGAAATTTGGGCACCCCTCGAGGTCTGTTGCTGCCGTTTTCGCGCTCTCTCGCCGAGTCAAGTGGGTGTAAGAAATTTTGTAAAACTTGCTGCAAATTGGCTATGCATATAAATCGATGTTAATGTCCCCGGCGTGGCAGGGTTGCTGGATGATGTCGGTGTTGGCCTGAAAGTATGCAAGCAGCAAGGGTGATGGGTAGAAATGCTGCTATCTTGGTTGCCAAGTTGTTTACTAAATCATCGCTAATCGCTTGCCAATTTTTTTTTCAACTAGCTCAATAAGGACAAGTGCACCTGAAAGTGCGGACAACTCGACAGGTGTTCGTTCTTATCAGGGTCCGAAATTAGCGGGTTTTGCACTCGGCCAGGTCAGGTGTACTGGCTGCCATATAATGGTTTTATTATGGCTATTTCGAGGTGACTCATGGCCAGATTTTATGATTTAGGGAGGCTTACACACGCCTGCCCTCCACAGATTAACAATCTTTGGCTTATTGGGAAATCTAAACAATTCATTAGAATATTTTCAGAGATTAAAAGTAGTTATTTAGCTCAGGTAAAGATTATGATTTTCCCATAAAATCCACTGCAAAGATAAACCCTTTTTAGAAATTCATTCAAGTGCAAATGAGACGTAATAATGACCATAAAATGTCTTTAAAATCAAACGTAATTTTTGGTGCAAACGTTCAAATCGATTAGATTAATCCGAGAGTGCAAAGGCACTTGGTTAGTATAAATACCCCTACGATTAGTGATTTTGGGATACAATCCAAAAAGTGCTTTCAAAGTAAACACACGAGTTAACCAAGGAAAAATGACCAGCTTCAAGAAGTTCTGCCTGTGCCTGATGCTCCCTCTGATGTGGACTTTGGTGGCGGCCAACACTCCCTTCCGGCAATGTGAGTCAGGACTGAGGAAACCCCGTTTGAGTAATTTTTTTTAATAAATTCAATTAAATTTGGTTTCACCAGGTGCTGATAGCAGCTATCCCATGCCGTTGATGGTTCAAATCGATGACTGTGATGCCTTGCCCTGTGATCTGTGGAAAGGTAGCGAGGCCAAGATCGATATTCAGTTTGTGGCCAGTAAGTATTATTGGAAAAACCTCTCAAAAATATATTAATTACTCCTCAATTTCCTCTTTAATAGCTCGCAATTCCATGCACAGGCTATCAGCTGAGGTTCACCTCACCTCGCTAGGAGTCACCATACCCTTTGACCTGGACTCTTCCCGCAAAGATGTATGCAACAATCTCCTGCATGGTGCCTACTGTCCCCTGGATGCCGGCGAGGATGTGACCTATGAACTACTCCTGCCAATAGCCAGCAACCAGCCGGAGGTACCCACGCGGCTGGAAGTGCGACTCCTGGACACCGAGAACGAGAATCGAGTGGTGTCCTGCTTCCTGGCCGATACGCGCGTCAAGAAGCCCAGCCTGTAATTCTAGATCCTGATAATGATAATTAGACTTAATCCAGAGACATTGCATCAATGTCTTCAGAGCCTTCTGTGAGGCCAATTAATAGCGCTTAAGCCGAGGGCCACTTAAGCCCCACAAACACTATTAGTAGTTATGAATAAATAATTAGGGGAAAATATTATAAATAATCAACATGAATCGGCTGAGTTAATTACCCCAGGCGGCACACATGTGTGGGCGTAGTATTACGGCTAAGCTGGGCACACAAGCACGGAGGGCGCCATGAATCGGCTTAATTAAATGACGCAGAAAATTACGCACATCGAGGTTAAGGAGTGGGATTATTGGGAGATGGGGAAGATTTTGCAGGTGGTGCGTGCGGTTTTCAGCTAGCTAAATTTTCTTTATTTTTTAGAAAACAGCAAACTTTTCATTGCTCCATTTACACGCACAGCCCCTATGGCTTCCTTCCGGCCCTCAAAGCTAATTGGCTTTTCAACACTTTGGAGCTTCCGACGGCTGATGACGAGGACGAAGGTGGAAACGGAGGTGGAGGCTAAGGTTATGGGGGATTCAAATGGAGGTCTAATGAACAAGCTGCCTGATGGCAAAGCATATCCGTCGGTTAGCTAATTGAGACGTTGACTAGGTGGTGACATATAGCTAAGAACTACAAATTGGTCACTGACCAAGGAAAATTAACCCTAAATTGGGAATATTAAAAAAAAAACTGTTCACGTTACAAGGAAAATGTAATAAAAAATGTTTGTCTTAAAAAAATAAAAACAATATAAACGCTTCCTCTTAAAATATCACTTATTCCAACGTTTGTATTTATTTTGAGCGATTAAAGTATAACTAACTATGACTCACAACGATTACTATGTTTTTACTATTTTTCTACAAAATGTTTCCTCCACGTGTTTGGGTGCAAACAAACTGAATGGCAGCCAACCGAATCGATTTCATGATGATAACATTTAGCCAAATGATTAGGTTTACGTTTATAAAATAAACGAGTGCTTAAGCCATAATGTTTTATCTGTCTAGTCATGATGTGAACGAGTTATGTGAGTGTACGAATCAAAGGATCTCCTGCTGTTTATTACGAAATGAAAGTCAGTCGGTTCGGTTTGTTTTTGGTCTCCGCTGTGATGGGACTCGCCATCGAAGTGGCTGGAAATGAGAAGTCCTTTTTGACCACATACAGCAGCAGTCAGAAGGTTGGTTTAACCTTAAATTCTTTATTTTTACTTACTAAAACATATTAAATTTTAAATACACTCAGAAAGCCCTGGTGGCCATCCAGCACATCCATGTCTTTGGCGAGTCGCTGTACATGAAGGTCCGGGCCTACATCCACGAGGATCGCCAACATTTCGATCTGAATGTGCGTGTGGTGCGGGAGCTGGGCAGCAATCACCTGATCATGAACATGAAGGTGCGCGTGAGGCCCGAGGGAGGCACCCAGTTTGTGCAATTATTCGAAATGCGAAGAATTAACTTTTGCGGCTTCCTCAGCGAATACAATTCGAATCCCATGCTGCGTTTCCTCTTCAAGAAGAGCATTATCCTGAGCGATGTGATCGAGTGTCCCATCCGTGTGGGTAATTACTCGATGCTGAACTCCAATGTGGCGGAAAACATTCAACCAGATGGAGTTCAGAATGGCACCTACAAGTTCTTTGCCGAAATTGTGGAGGAAAACGGAGAGATAGCCAAGGTGTTTGCCCTCCAAGTCACCACGTTGGTGTATATTGTGGAAAAGGATGGTTCGGATGAATCAAAAGAGGACTAAGAAAGGCATTCCAAGAAAAATTAAGAAACCAATTTTAAAGAAAAATTACAGTCAGCTTTATAGATATTTACATTACAAGTTTGACTATTTTAAAATACAATATTTATGTGTAAAAAAATCGTTTTAAAGTTTCTTAGAACCCTGATTCTTGATAAGTTTAAACAACGCAGATCTTGGGCAAACCCAGTTCCAGGTTATGTCCCCAAAAAAAACGTACAAAGACTTTGCTTCAATTGATTCCAAAAAACTTCTAAGCCAGTTGGTTAACACTAAAGGCATGTTTGTCAGCTCAAAAGCACTTTCAACATAACGAAAGTTCTCGGTCGCTCTTGGAAACATTCGGGACATAACCCGTACTTGGAGACAGGGCAATGCTATCGAGGTTATATAATCTTGACGATTATCATATAAAAAACATTCGATACGAAAACGAGGTACTTCTGTTGAAGGAAAACCCGGTAGACTGATTTCAGGCCGAAGAAACATTTTTAGTTCCTGGAACTCGGCCATCCGGAAAAATTCCTGTACATGTTCTTGTCGAGGACACAATCGTTGATTAATCTGCTCAATTAGGTGAGCAAACTGGGAAAAGTATTGCCTTACACTGGGACTTGGCAGTTCTTCTTTAAGGTGAATGTAGGCGGAGAGCAAGTAGTTGGTAGGCTTCAGGGGAGGATTCGATGGTAAGTATGTTTGACCCAAGGACTCTCGTAGCTCAAGTACTCCATTCTCAATCGGCTGAGGTATGATGTCCAGACCTTGAATATTTTGTAGATCTTGCTGGGTTATAGGTTGATCATTATACACTAGATTTTCAGCTTGAACTTCCATTTTGGTTTTAGGGATGAATTTCTTAGTTCGTCGGGATTTATGACGACTAATTGCAGATATTTTTAACATTCTGCAAGCTTTTTTCTTTTTGAAGCTCTGCTGGCTGGCATAAAACAATTCACGTTGTACTTTTCGCCGTAGCTTTACTCTCTGGTCCATATCCTCGATATCTGAGCAGTTTATATTAGCCACCGTACTGGATGTCTGGTGCTGCATCCGCACTGGGATCTTGGGGTACTCCAGAGATCGTATGCCATAGGGGTTGCGTATGGGAGAAACCCCTACGAACCTTGGTCCGTGGCTACGATACGAGAGTCTCACCACGTTTCCCCTGTACCAGGTCCTATGCACAGCCTTGGCCTTCTTTCTAACCATCTGGAATATTTGATCTCTGATGGGGCTGTTTCTAACTGCATCGTAGAGCTCAATATGTTGCGTACAGTGAACAATTGAATATTTATTCGGTCTTTGTTGGCTTTCAATCAGCCTGAGTTCCTCTTGGGTCAGCGTGGTAACTCCCAGGTGGTTGCAACTGTCTAGGCAGTAGCTGTGGACCTTATGGTGATGTGGGTTTCGGCTGGGCGTTATCAACAGTAGGATATTGCATAGATCTTGACACTTCGGTATCTTTTCCACAACGGACAGGTATTCCAGGTCATTATTGCTTACCCCAAAGACTTGATCGGTTGAAGACTTGCATGTCATGTGCCTACCGCAAATAAGACAGGGTTTCAATTTCGGGGTCTTGCTTTTTGCTTTGGGAGAGCCTCCTCCGTAGATCAGGTTTAAAGGCAGTGACACATCATCACAGAGATTTCCTTTGTCTTTCTCAGGTAATAACATTGCGAATTTGTATAACTTTTTGAAGATTTTTCGTTTTACTTAAATTTTTGCTGAATTTCAGCCTTTCTGAAAATTAAATACCTAGTTTGCCCAGGGGTTCTATGATCGAAAAATAAGAGAGTTTACTGAGTTTTCTTAGTAAATTCTACATTAGTTTAAAATTCAGTATGAATAACAACTTAAATAAAGAATAAAAAAATTTTAGTTGGAAATTAATTTGTCGATAAAAAAGATGCTCTAGAAGTTAGAAAACAAATCTATGAACATGGATAATATCGATATATTATAATTTAATGTGATACTTATGTTTTTTCTAAATTCGATATATCTGTTCGATTATTTCTTGCACAATATTTTTATACCCTTGCAGGGTATTATTGTCAATATTTTTCACCCGATAAACATAATTATTATCGAAAATATCGATATCGAAAGAAAGAACGAAAGAAAAAAAAACAACATTTTTTTCAGAAAGAACTTTTCATTTCGAAAATATCGATAATTTTTTTTTTAAATAATCTAGTTTTAAATAATGCTTTTCAAATCTATTTTAAAATAATTGTTACAAAAATAAATAAATTAAATAAAATTTTGCGATGAATTAAATAAATCAACATTATTCAAATTACTTTTAATATTTTTAAGTTTTTATATCAAACTGTATGATATATTCAACATATTTAGGGCTATATTTAAATCGATATATCATATATTTTACTACTGTTTGGTCACCCAGGGGTTAATCAATCAGGTATCAAGTCGAGCAGGTGTTCATTTATTAAATGGCTAACATTAACCCACGCCATTGGGGGAATGGACCATGACCACCTGATGACCGCCACCTGATGACTCTGCTCATTGCGCAATGAACTTCGTTCGGTTTGCGTTGTTTTTTCCGCTATTTCACTGGGTTAATGGCAACGAGACCACGAGCACCAAGTCGCTGTGGGACGAGGAGGAGGACATGGAGACCCAGGTACTCTTGAGTAGCCTGTAAAAAGTTCGACCTACAGAGCTGAAGATTTGCAGAAACCCGTTCTCCGTATCCATCACATCAACATCTTTGGCGACGCTCGCTTCATGAAGGCGCTGGCCCATATCAACGAGAACCGCACCCACTTCAGCCTGAGTGTCCTGCTGCGCCAGAAGCTGGGCAGCAACTTTCTGATCTTCAACATCAAGCTGCGCGTTAGGCCCACCGGGAAGGTAGCCTTCGTGACCCTGCTCCAGATGCGGGACTTGGACCTGTGCGGCTTCTTCACCGAGTTCTCTACGAATCCCATGATGAAGTACTTCCTGCAAACGGAGATGCAGCTGAGCGACTACATCGCCTGTCCCGTTCGCGTCGGCAACTACACGCTGAAGAATGTCAGCGCCAAGGACATATATCCACAGAATCTGCAGAACGGCACCTACAAGTTCTTCGTTGAGGTGGTCGAGGGTACGGCGGAGATAACCAAGGTCTTTGCCCTGCAGGTGACCTCGGAGATTTGGCTGGAATAAACAGAGTGAACAGAGCGGACAAAGGATGTGTAATTACGAGTGAATCAACCAACCCACCCCACCACTAGCATGTTAAGCGGATTGTTCTGGCTTTGCCCAAGCAGTTTTCCGCATTTTCCACACATTTCCTCCCCTCTTTTCCGCTTTTCCTCCATTGTGCGTCATCCGCTTCGATTTAGTTCCCCCCTCCTGGAACATATTGAAAATCGTTTAAGGCGCCATCCAAGTGCATGGCCGATTACGGTGATTATCCTGGGACTATCGGGACTTGCGTGTGTGTCCTTTTAGTTCGGCGGGGTTTCTTTTGGATTTCCCGCGGGATTTCTGACAACATTGCGAAGCCATATGCGCTCTTTGTGGTCGCAATTCTGACATAATTAATAGAAAAACAATATGTTCAATGGCCAATCAATCGGGAATACCTGGTATATTTAATACCTCATTGAATAGCCGGAACTTTCAAGCCATTAACCACTGAAACCCTTTCCCGAGACCCCCACGTAATCTGATATTTTAATGGAGCTTGAAATATTCCTGCCACCGTTAATTAAAATCTGTAATGCGGTTTTCAGCACGTATTATTTTTCACATTTCTGGATTTTTTTATTCCGAAAAAGGGTTGAGTGACGACGACACCCTCTGGATAGGCAATGCCTTTCCTCACGCACAATCAAATCACTTTGCGAATTCAATTTGGCAAAAATAATGCGAATATATATTTATATATATTCCAAGGGGGCAGGGCAAATGGAAATCCAAATTTCAATCTCCTTTGCCGGAGCAGGGAAAATTCCTGCAAGTAGCTGTACTTGTTGGGGGGGACAGAAGGAAAGGACCTCCTTACGTGAAGTGCCAATGCCTGCTATCAAGTGTCGCACTTATGTGTGACCTTTGCAAATTCAATTTTTCGCCTTTTTATCTATAAACATTTTCTATTAGCCGCCGTTTTTCAAGGGTGGCAAAGGAGGGTTTTGCAATTTCAATTTGGAAGCCAAGACGAGAGGTCAACGGCAGGCGGCTTTTCATTCATCGAAATTGCTATGAAATCCTTGAGATAAGCCTAGGGGACATGTCACCGGGATACAAGTTTGTAAAAAATGAAACCAGTCATAATATATTTTCTTGCAACTTTCAGTGGAAATTTAAAAATGAAGCCTGGACTTTCTGGGGCTCCATTTGATGGCAATTAAAAAGGCGTTGAGTTGAGCAATTAAACACACGAACCTGCCTCAAAATAATTCACTTAAATAACGCAATGTTGCGTAATTCAGTTTCACAGTTTTGTAATTAAAAGCATTTGCATAAGAATCGCATCGAGCGCCCGCTCGTCCGGCCTCGGGCATGCTTCCATGCCCCTCTAATTAAGGCCTGACCGCGCCAGGACTCTCGCTCTCCATTCCCCTGGTAGGTCCTTCGGGTCGCGTCTTCCCCTAAAGGTCATCAACGTCTCCGGCGAGGCGGCTCAAATCCCTGCGATTGCAAGTCCGACATACACAGTTGCGGTGTTATGGTTTGTCAATAGCGTTTTGTCCTTTGCGTGGCATACAGGAAGTCCTTAATGTTCCGCTGGAGTGCAATTCAATCGGTCGTGTTTTTGAGGCGAATTGAATGCTTTTGTGGGACTTTAAAGATTTTATCATACAAATTTATGGTTTAATTAAACTAAAATTTGATTAAACAAGAAAGGAAGCTAACTTCGGCACGCCGAAGTTTGTATACCCTTGCAGATATTATTTCATTAAATTTTACCTATACTTATTGTTTAGAGTTTGACAGTTACAGTTTTACATTCCCAGTTCCCATTCTCCATCTACCGATCGGTTTATATGGCAGCTATATGATATAGTTGTCCGATTTTCATAAAATTCATACGAAAATTCTGAACTAATAAAATAAGCTTATATCTCAGAGTAGATAAAAATAGGTTGAAAAACAACGAAGTTATAATGTTTTTTCTATTAATTTCCCGATCGTTCCTATGGCAGCTATAAGATATAGTCGTCCGATTTTCATGAAATTTTTACCGAAATTCTTGAATAATATAAAATGACCATATCTAAAAAAATGGTTTAAAAATGTTGATAAACAGCCAAGTTATAAATTTTTTTCTAAAAATTTATCGATCATTTGTATGGGAGCTATATGATATAGTCGTCCGATCCGGCCCGTTCCGACATATATAGCAGTGAGAGTATATAGAAGACTATATGCAAAGTTTCATTCAGATAGCTTTAAAACTGAGGGACTAGTTTGCGTAGAAACGGACAGACGGACAGACGGACAGACGGACAGACGGACATGGCTAGATCGACTTGGCTGTTGATGCTGATCAAGAATATATATACTTTATAGGGTCGGAAAGGTCTCCTTCACTGCGTTGCAAACTTCTGACTGAAATTATAATACCCTGCAAGGGTATAAAAACAGTTTAGAATAACACAAATCGAAATGGATTTTCTGGCTACATTTTAAAGTTTTCAGCAAAAAGCCTACATTTTCTTTAAGATCGTCATCTGTAACAGCCAAAAATTTTTCTATAAATTTAATTAACATACTTTAATTTAAGAATTTTGAGAATAAAATAAGGATTTATATTTATATTTGGCTTTAAAAAAATCCGAGATCACTTAGATTCTCCTATAGATTATCTTTGGCTCAGTTTATAAATTAAGAAATTATGAACAAACAAAAAACAAAACTTTTTTAACTTTTGAAAAATTTATTTTTTGTTTTTCGACTGAACTAAAACTACAAATAATTTATTAAATAACAATAACATTTTATGAATTTGTTCAAAAATCAATATAAAAATCACACAGTCATTTTCTGTTAAACATTATTTTTTGTAACGGTTCAATGGTAACTTTAATGCTACACTGCCTAACAAAAAAGGAAAATAATGACTAGCACTGAAAATTAAATAGTATTGCCACTGAGAGTGTTTTGTAGAAAGAACCATGTTTAATTTTTATACAACAAGAAAGGAATTTAAGTTCGGCACGTTGAAGTTTGTAGGGTAACACTTTCACTTTTCACTTAGATCATAATTATATATTTTTATTTTTACAGGTCTACATTTCAGTTTTTCATTCAAAGCCTTACAAATTTTCTCTACATCTGCCGATAGTTCCTATGCTAACTGTTTGCATAGTTTCATTTTCAAAATATTAAAAGCCAAATTCTGAAACAATACAAAATGGCCATATCTTAAAGTAGATGATATTTGTTAAAAAACATTGAAGTTATAACTTTTTTCTACAAATTTTCCTATAGCAGCTATATGATATAGCTGGCCGATCCGGACCCTTACAACATATAAATATAGTCGTGAGAATAGTCAGCAGTCTGTCTGGTGAGATATCTTTAAAACTAAAGGACTAGTTTGCCCATAAACGGACAGACTGACACACAGACATGACTAGATCGAATCGGCTGTTGATGCTGATCAAGAATAAATATACTTTTTAAGGTCGAAACCGTCTCCTTCTCTGCGTTGCAAACTCCTGACTGAAATTATAATACCCTGCAAGGGTAGAAATAAATTTTGTTAAACAGTGAAATCGATCAAAAAAAAAGTATTCGAGAAATGGTTGCTAAAATAATTACGGCAAAGCCTTTACTCATGGAAATGCTGGTCAACGATGAAGTTCGATCGCATTTCCCTCGCAGCGTGGTCTTTTGTGTTTGTAATTTATTTACTCTGTGACTCAGAGGCTCTTTTTAAATTCACCAATATCAAGTGCAACTGTTTTGAGCAATCCTTCTGCGAGTTTAAGAAATGTGAACTAAAGGTCCTGGGTCGCGGCATAGTGGGTCTGAATTTGTACGCTAAAGTCAACAAGTTGCCCATTAAGAAGGCAAAGGTTCGTAAAGCTTCAATAAATATTTTAAATAATTATAATAAAGGTATATACTATCTGTTTAAGGTTGTTCTGGCCCTGTTCCGAAGGTTCAATGGCTATAGACCATTCCTATTCAATGTCAGCGTGGATCTTTGCTTCTTTTTAAAGCACAAAAAACGATTTCCCTTTGTCAACATGGTTTACGAAGGCATCCAAAACTTTACAAATGCCAATCACAGCTGCCCCATTAATGTTGGTAATACCTTTCCTTAACCTATTTACGTCGTTTTGATTATATTTGAATTTTTAGCACGACATAATTGTAGATCACATGGTTCTGGATGACAAAATGATCAGTAAGGCCCCGGTTCCCAATGGATTTTACAAGCTCTCCATTAATGTACAAACGGATGGGGTTTGGCGTGACGAAGTAGACGTCCATGCTGAGGTTAACCTGGGGTTTGAACGCTGATTCAAGCTATATGTTTAATAATTCCCATCAAAAGCCATTTAAAAATAAAAAATACTCCCAACTTTGTTGTTCTACTTATGATCAAACAGTCGAAGCATGACTCTAATGGTTTTTTAATAACTATAGCTACATTTTAATAACATCTGAACTCGTTAGAAATGCTGATCTACGATGAAGTTCTACACAATTTCTCTCGAAGTGTGATCCATTGATTAAAGCCATTCCTTTTCAAATAAATTATATGACACTTTGTTTTTAATTTAAGGATAATTTTTTTTAACTTTATAACAGACGTGTATCCACACGTTCTCGCCACTGTCACTTCATTCCAGGGATGTTAGAACCAGTTGGGAATCATATGTGCACACGTGTGGCATTTTTTGCTTTACAAAATTTAGGACAAGTGCGCCTTATGAAAAATTGACCAGAAAAACAACTGCTATTCTCACTTATTTGCTATAGGAAAGGAACTGAACTAGGCAAAGCAGAAAAAACGCCCTAAATTTAAGAAAAATAGAAATAATAACCCAAAATTGTTGTGTTGATGGTAGCTTTTCTTAATTTATAATTATAATTATTTATAAGTGTACAAGGTTGGTACTCCAGTTCTGTCTATATTACTACCCATAAATGGTACACCTTTCTTAGTTTGTTTTTTGCAGCTCAATATAATCATAGCTCTCTGGAGAACAAAATACTACTAATACCATTAGATAGTGTAATCATAGTAATAATAGTAATTATTATATTAATTTTAATTTTAGACTTTATCGCTGATAGCTCCTAACAATTTGCATTTGAAAACTATACCCTTACTTAACTCATCGATGATTAATCTCTTAACGGCCAATGAACCATGTAAACTAGATGCTATCTCCTTCGAATAAGAAAATTTACCGAATTTAACTGCAATTGTTTGGTTTTCTATTTGATTTACGAATTTGATTTGCACAGGCTGCAATTCAATCGCAAATCCTGTTTCAAAAATCATATGAGCCTAATTAAGAGCCCATTACCCAACCCTCCGCTATGTAAACAGACACCGTAGACCGCAAGTCAACCAAGCAGGATACCAACCCTCTGATATTGCTCACCACCAGGGGATGGGGACTGGGATGGGACTGGGAATCGAGATGAAATGGAGATGGGGTGCTATTCCGTACAACGTGTTGCTGCGAATCGTTACGCGTGTAATCTGACACTCGGGAGTGCTTACAACCTGGGCAATTAGCCAGCGAAATCTCCATGCAAATGAGCGGAGCTCCCGGGGTCGTTAAAGAAAACTTCCTTCGGGAAAAGTGTCAGGAGCAGGCAGCAGCGAACGGCCACAAAGGCCGGAGCTATGCTAATGAGCCCCTGACAAGCTGACAATTAGCCAAGGGCCGGAGAAAAGCCGCAAAGTGAAACTTGTTGACCTCGTTGGCTGCAACCGATCTTTGCCGGGGTTAAAAACTTAATAAGGCAAGCCACTTTTTATCCAGAGAAAATCCTACTCTTTATTTCACTCGTCGTTGGAGTATACAAGTAAGTAATTAAATTCCAGTTTATTAGTCGGAATTGTTTTTTCGAGGCGTCGCTGCTGCTGATGCTGTCGATTCAGCGTCGCGACGCAACAATTTAATTAAGTTTTTGCAGACCGTTTCACTAATTAATTGCATTCAGCAGCAATTGAGACGAGGGATGCCAGTGTAAAATGGGCCAGAAAGTGGAACTTTTGGGGGGAAAAAATAGCAAAAATATGGGAATAATTTTTACATAAATAAATTCCAAGTGTTTATAAAATAATTTTGTTATTTAAGCTTAGAGCCACCAAATTTGCACTTCAAAAAATATTTTATATTATATGTTTAATTTTATATTTTTTATATTTATAGTTTTATTTTATGTATAACCTTTTATATTTATATTTAAAAAAAAAACTCTTTTAATTTCATATATTTAAAATAAAATTAGTAATAATTAAACTAAATTTACTTATTGAATAAAAATACATAACTAATTTTAATGTATTATTGTTTATTATATTTAAAGTGCTGAAGCTACAATAAACCTTAAAAACCTTAAAATAAAACAACAGCCACAAAATAATTACAGATTGGGTCCAAAAATGTATAGAATATTTATAATATTAACAATATATATAAAAATAAGAATATAAAACTATTTAAATATAAATAATAAAAGAATAATAATACTAATAATAAAAAATTCATTAAAATTATATATAATTATTTTATAAATTGTTATTCCACAAATACTTCACAAAATTTAAAATTTTAAACTAATTTAATTTCAGGGAAGTGAGAAATATTTGTTAAAAATTAGAATAGTGATAATTTAAGAACAAAATGTATTCTTACCAGGACTTTAACCATTTGTGTTTAATATTCATATTAAATACAGGTTGAACAAATCTAAATAATTAAATAAAATTACAAAATTAAATAACTAGAAATATTTAATTAAATAAATAAATTTAATATTTCCATAGAAGCCAACGCAGGCGTAGCCCTGGTTAAGAACCCACCTAATTTTCCTTAATTTTTTTGGCCATGCCCTGACGCCATTTTGAAAATTTCACTCCCAGCATGGAAGAGTGGCTAGAGGAAGGGGGAAGCTACATTAAATTTTCAAAACCACAAAAAGAATCCTTTGGTTCTTAAAATGTCTGAACAACGATGACCGTGCTGAGGCTGTGACGGCGGAAGAGCAGAAAGGGGGGGGCTATGGACGAAATAAAGGTTCGTTGCTGGCGACAAAAGGAGCACTCACCTGAGCCACCCCGAAAAAGGGGAGCAACAGCAGTAGCAGCAGCAGATGGAGCAGGTGGGAAAACTCCAGCACAGTGCAGTGAAATTCTTCATCTGCAATTCAATGACATTCCATTCTGGACACCGGAGCCTCGCTCCCCACACATTCCCTGAGCCTGAATCCCGGCCAGCGGGCGGGGGCGTGGCGTGGCGAGCCAATGAGCCAGTCTCAGTGATTCCATCAGGGGCGTGGCAGCGCATGCGCCGCTCCAAATGCGTGGGTGTCCGGGGGTGGGATTGTTGAGTTATGCCATCCGCGAGCGAATCCCAGAGCAGCCGCCCAGGGATTCCGGCGCAAGGTGCGAGCGAGAGCCGTTCCAGAAGCGGGTGCTACGACGGCTGGGTTGGCCCGGGGGGGTGTTCCAGCTTTCATTGGCTTCGCCCTCACATTCAAAGCCAACTTTTTTTTGGGTCGCAGCATTGCGACAGGTTACCGTGCGGCATTCAGTTCCCTGCGAAGGCTGCCACGGGTCAGTTGCGTGTCACGGAGAGTCCTTAAGCTGGCGGCAAAGTCCTTAGCTAAAGGCAAAGTGCGGTGCAAGAACATTTTTCATTATACTTATTGCAAAAAAAAATAAATTCTTATTGAGAAACCTTTTTAAAAAGAAAAACTATAACTAGTGAAGTGCTTAAATTAATCTAAACTAATAAAGGAATATGTAAAGAAAAAATAAAATAGTGCTAACACATTAAAATACATTTTAAAGCATAAATCTGTGTAGTTAATAGTGCGGAGAACGGAAAATAATCGCTAAAAAAATATACGTTATCACATTGGTAAAGAGGTAAACCTTTTATACTTTATTTAAAATTTTTTTTAAAGTTTAATGCCAATTTTAATTAATTTTTTTTAGATTTCTAAAAACTAAAAGAGAGAAAAGTCGCTCAGTTTTGTACATACATTTTCTGATTTATGTAAAATTTATTTTCTGGGTAAAAAAAAATAAATAAGGTATACGGTTTCAAACCACATAAAAAAAATAATAAACCAATCCAATCTGAATACTTAGCTCATATATGTATATATATAATATATGATTAAAGTATTATGTTTTCTGTGGTAGCACACTAGTTTTTCTATTTAGTTTTTTATATACATACATATATATTTTATATTTATGTATATATAATAAAATATAAAATAATATAATACCAATGAAATGGAATTAGAATGGATTACCTGATATCAAAATTATTCAACTTTACTTATTAAATGGAAATGTAAGCGAAACCTAAATAAAAAGCAACAACAAATCAATTTACATTTTATTTAATTCTTAATTTTTTCTACAATCTTTAAGAACAACATTCAAAAACATCTTTAAATCTCTTCGGTATTGATACAAGTTTCAAAAACAAAAAATAACAAACCAATTTTTCTCATAGACAAAAAGTTGTATAATTTTTTGTTATTAAATTTCTATGTAAATTTTGTTTTTGAATTTGTAGATGTGCACACAAATATTATATTAAACATATATTACATTTATTATCTATAAAATCTGTGTTCAACTAATGACCCTTTAAAATTTCCGCTTAAAAAACATCCTTTCAAGTCTGTTTAAAAAGTAACCAACCGTCAATGAAGACTTGGTTTTTAAATTAATTTGCTTAATTTAATTAAAAATATATTTAACCATTTAAATTTCAGTAAAAACCCAACAGCAAGTCCTGAGGACCACACCTTATTGTGACAAAATACTAACTTAATAAAAGCCACAAATGAAGTCCCGCAGAAGGCAATAAAGAAAAATGATGAACATGAATCCGTTGACGCACTCACACCCACATCCTCAGCCCCATCTTCACCCTCATTCGCAGCCCCACCTGCAGCATCCGCATCTCGGCCAGCAGCCGCCGCAGCTGCCTGTCGCGCTCCAAGGACATCCCCACCCGGCCACCCACTTCGTGGAGTGCCGGGCATTGCCGGCAATCAACGAGACATTTCCGCAATTTGGCCAGCATCGTCCGACGATTGCGCTGCTGTCGCCGCTGGATCTGTCGCTCCGGGCAGCGGCCAGTGTGGTGCCCATTACGCCGCCATCGACGCCCTCGCCACCCCGCAAGCGTCAGAGATTAATGTCCGAGGAGAATTACCTGTGGCGGCCGCACATGACGGGTCCGGCAGCAGGTCCTTCAGTTCCACCAGCTCCTGCTCTGGCCATGCCGCCGGGTAGCAACTACTTCCTGCACCAGCAACAGGAGCCGCCGCATCCCCAACATCTGCAGCCGTACTCGCTGCGCAACTTCGAGGGGGCCGCCGTCGCCTTTAATAAAAGCCATTGCCCCGAGACGAAAAATAACTTTCAGCAAATTCCAACAAGTCAATCGAGCGTGTCCAGGCGGCCCTCGCCCATTTATGTGGACGATGAGACAATCGTGTTGACCGAGGACGAGGACGAAACAGTTGTCAGTTCCCATGACTACAATGATTATGCCGCCACCGAGGATACCGAGGAAGTCAACGAGGGCGACGATGAGACGCTGCAGGTCCGGGTCAGCGGGGATGATGAAGAGGACGATGATGAGGAGGAGGTGTTCGTGGATGTTTTGGGCAGCGACGATGACGAGGACGGTAAAGTCGAAAATGAGACATTGGCCCAGGCCCAGACCCAGCTGGTGGAGACGCGGGCACTGAAGCGCAATGAGCTGCTGTACGAGGACGAGGAGCTGCATCACCAGGCCATAGATGGCCTGGCACGACTCTTTGACCGGGAGTTTCCAGACCCCGAGGTGGAGATCACCCAGCTGTCCGATGTGCAGAGCAACGGCGAGAAAACCTACACGGACTTGAGTGGCGGCATGGCGACGGCAGAGTCGATTGCTTCAAATAATCCGACTGCTTCACTTCCTCCTGCTCCTCATCCTCATCCTCTTCCTCCTCCTCCGCCGCCGCCCCCGCATCCACCACGACCCCAGAAGGCGGAGCGTAAGCGTTCCAAGCTAAGGAAACACATGGCCATTGATGAGGAGACCATTAGTCCCGTGTCTGGTACCATAATCCGCAAGCTGCGCGATGACGAGGAGCTGGTGGTGCGCAAAGGCGACATTGATCCGGCTTTCAATGTGGTGGAAATCACCGAGGAGGCCAAGGCCATCCTGGCCAGCATAGACAACAAGATTGGTGACTATCTCTGCCAGTTGTGCCGCACCGTCTACGATGATGCCTTCATGCTGGCCCAACACCGATGTCCCCGCATCGTTCACATCGAGTACAAGTGCTCCGAGTGCGAGAAGGTTGGTTTTTTCGGTGTTTCAGGATCATTCAGGGATTTATGCAGATGTCCACTTGCAGGTCTTTAATTGTCCAGCTAATCTGGCCTCCCATCGACGTTGGCACAAGCCCAAGGCAGATGCTGTCAGCGGAGGTTCCGTCGGTAATCCCGGCAAGAAACGGCTTGTGGAGACCGGCGACATTATTGCGGATTCGGTTAGAGCTGGCGATGACAGCAACGATGGCATATATCCTTGCCACATATGTGGGAAGACATTCCGGCGGTAAGAAATACTTAATAATTTTTAATTTATAATTATCGTTTCAATTAATAAATTAAAATACAGCCAAGCCTACCTGAAGAAGCACCAAGCCTCCCACCAGATGCTGGAGAACCTAAAGAGCCTGGACTTCTTCAAGGCCCAGCAGCAGCAGCACCAGCATCAACAACAGTTGGGCCACCCGCTGCCTGATCATGTCCAGCTCCCACAGGTGCCGTTGCCGGTGCCGGTAGCCTCTAGCACTGCCGCTCCTTATGCCCCCACCCTGCCACGCCCGCCCTCTCATGGACTGCCGCTCTATCCACCGGCTGCTCCCGGCAAGAACTATGCCACGGGTCAGCGGTTTCCCGGCTTTCCCTTCCAGCCCTTTGACCAGCGACGCTTCTATTCTCTGGGTGAGTTCTATCTGTCGCAGCACTTGGAGCGCTCCTCGGCCTTCCAGTATGTCCAGGCCAATCACCTGCGCCAGCTGTCCAATGTGGCCCAGACTTTGCTGCCACCGCTGCCGGTCAAATGACCCAACCCGAATCCAACGAACGTCCTGCGGCCGGTTCCCCGCATAGCTGCCACCGCGACCAGCACGACGGGAACACAGGCAGTGCGGCAGGGAGGAGAATCCTCAACGACAGTATCCTCTGGTGGCCATGCCTTCAACTGGGTGCAAGGAGGGGGTGCTCCTCCAGCGACTGCAGCAACTGTAACTATAGCAGAGTCCAGCGGAAATGTTATCATGTGACTTAACAACTAATAGAAGCATTGAATAAACACAAACTCTAGTTAAAGTTTAATAAATCAATTAACAAACGGAAGACTTTTATTTGGGGGAAAAGGATTAGAAGTAATAGTAATTACAACCATAGAACACAAACCTTAAAAACTATTAATTTTTCTTTTAAAACATTTAATTCCCTTTATAGTTTGGCTACCAGCTTACTCATGCTAAGGACATGAGCTATAGCATGTGCCAGGTAGGTTTCATTTCGTAAACCAACAAATAAGGTAGACCTGGGTCCTGTGAGAATACAAGAATAAAAATTAATCGTAGAATCATATCAGGGATTCCCCACTCACCCTGCGCAAACAGCAAACTCTCCGACGGCATTTGCTGCAGTCTTTCCTGAAGTCGAATTTCCTCTTCGTTAAAAATCTCTGACAAATAACTGATGGTTTCCGTTTCCTCGCTGATGTCTAGGCTGGGCTTTGGATATATGCCATTGGTAAAGAGCACCAGGGTTAAGGTATCCCTATCCTTAGGAAGACTAACCAGTGTATCGTTCAGGATCTGCAGCTGTCTTCTACTGTTCACTCCCTTCTCCCTAACCTGCTCCACAATTAGTAGATAGCCTTGTTTTTTTCCCTCCAAAACTTCGAGTGACTTTTCCACCATTAGCTTAAAAGATGGAGCCTTGGGATTTCCACTCAAGTCTCCATTGGCCATCACCCCCATCAGGTGGTCATAGCGGCTGGCATTCAGGGACTCCAGCTCATCGGTTCGCTGGATCAAATCAAACTTAATGGGCCTGATTTTGCTCTGCTTGAGCTTCTGATTGCGCCACTCCTTCAGCAAGTTGCGCCCTTCGCCGGCCTGGCAGAGTAGCTCGTCCACGGGATCGAACTGGGTTTGCGGCACGAGTTTGCTTAGCATTTGCCGGCCGCCGCCTATGATCACGTTGAGGGCCTTGCCAGTCTCTCCGGATATTAGCTGGCGGGCCACATCCTGGCAGCCGGATTGGAGGAAACCCATAGGCATTCGCTCATCGCATTCGTACAGGCTGTTGCCGTAGAGAGCTGCTCCCGTGGAACCCGTCAGCCGTTGAGTGGTCACAAAACCAGTTCGCAGGCCGGCTAATTGAGCCTGTCTTAGGACACTCATCAAGGAATCCGTTTGGTTATCCATTTGCTTGCATTCCGTTTCCATTTCCACAGACTTTTCCAGAGGAATCCCCGTCCAGAAGGCCCGGGATAACCCTCCCACTGGGCAGGGAAATCTCTGACTGCAGCTGTTCTTCAGGCGGGCCAAATGCGAATATTGGTCCCACACAAAGTTCACATTGCCCTGGCTAATCTCTCGAGCTGGAAACCGATGGGTAGCCAAGTCCCGACCATCTATTCCCTGAACCACAAAGATCCTCAAGTTCCTGGGATATACCGGACCCGATGGCGTTCTTAGAGCTTCATTCAGCTCTTCAATGCCCTTGTCATACCAGATTTTCTGTAAGGCTGCCACCCTGTCCTTCCAGTAGTCCACATCCGCCACGTTGGCCACCTCGTTCTCCACCTCGTAGCGCGTCATAAAGCCAATGCAGAGCAGGGTGATTAGGACCGTAATTAGGCATGTTCCGGCCACAATGAAAACCTGCGTCGATTTCAATCTTACTGTGCGGCACAGATCTCTGGTCCGTTGCGATGCCACCATTGCTGGGTCGTGGCTAAAACTGAATCACAAAGTTGTTTTGGGAAATCATAAACAACATTATCTGCTATCTTTCACGCGGCGATAAGGCCCGGTTTTGTCTTAAAGGTTTTACAGCCCCCAATCGTTGGCCATCTAGTTGGGTTTAAGTGTAGCAATTAACACACGTCATGAATTTTGAATGCACTAATTGGCATGTCAACCTAATGCAAAACACAGGGAGAAAAATTGTTAAGAAGAGGGATTTAAAAAACTAGCTGGTAATTTTTTACAGATATTATATATCTTAATCATGTGGAGTAAATAATATAATTGGTATTTTTGTTGATTTAATATCATCAATTTAATATATTTCGTTTTTTCTGCAAAACAATTACTAATTTTAGGAACAGTTAAAATTTATTTTAAAGAACTTTTGCATACTCACTTCTTGAGTATTCCTAATTATCTAGGATGCTCTAGAAAATCCAAGGTGTTTTTAAACCTATTTAATTTGTGTCTAAGAGTATGCAATAACATTTTGAATGCACCAACATTTATTTCAGATAAGGTTAAGTTACCAAAAAGTAAGGAAACACTACATTAGTCATAGTTAAAACTTAATTCTTAACATACCCAAGTGATTTCTGTAGTACCCTGATATTCAGAAATTAAAATCAAAGTTCAGTACCCAAATTATTCCCCTCCTAACTATTTCTCTCAGTGCCTTATATGGCAAATTCCGAGTTCAATTGCTGTTTTGAAGGGTCAAAATGTCCTCAGCTTTGGTCATTAACTATTTGTCACATGTACAGTAACAGCGGGTTGATGGAAGTGGCCGGGGGCCAGCAGAGTTGATTTGTGAGTTTGAGCCCGTTTTGGCCCTGGCCCAGTACTAATTGTCATTCGGCATTCAAATGCGGTTTTCCAATTTCCACCCCGCCGCTGAGAGAACTATTTCGCTTATGAATTCTCGCTCAATTATATCGGGGGAACGAATCGGTTCGTTCATTTCCCAGTTATGCGAATGCGAAATTGTTGCCTCAATTACCTGCCATTAACCTGCATTTAAACGCCGCCTTCCGTTCCGCCCAGCCAGTTGCCCCGGCCGCTGTCCGTCATTTCGTCGCTTTGAAGTTGCTGCCCAGTGCTTTGCATTGACATGTGGTTAGTTTTCCCCCGCCAAAACTGTCACAATTTCAATTTGAATCCCTCTTCTGACAACTGACAAAGGCACTCGACTTAGGATATCGCTTTGACTATCGTCTGGACAATTCATCTGCTTTCCGTTATTTGTTTTACCCACGGTCTTTACAACTGTCAACTTCGGGCGGAAGTGGCCGCCAAGCAATTTCAATTGCAATTTTTCAATCACGCTGTGCTCGGCCTTGTCAGCCGGCTGCCCACAGTGCGTATGCGTAATCTTGGCGAGGGAGTGGGCTCTGGGAGATAATATCCCTCCTTGTCCTACTATGTATCCTTGGGGGGCCTAAGAGTTTACAGTTGAGTCCACAAATGTGTGTGCCACATGGCGGGGGGTTTGTATTTGAGGCAAGGGTGGCGAGAAAAGCTTTGAAACCACCCCCCTTGGCATAAAGAGGTTTGTTTATTGGGTGAGCTTATTGAAAAAGCTTTTGGAAGCACCCTCTGGTGGTGAAAATTAAATATTTAATAATACTTTTTAAATTTTAAATTAAATTTTTTATTACAAAATTAATAGTTTCAAACAGGTAACTAAAAAAAACAAACTAAGAAAACAGTTAATATACTTTTTCATTAAATTCGTAGACAATACAAAAACAAACTGCATTAAATATTCATTAAATATGCAAAAATTTAATGCTTCTGAAAAGGTTTTTTACATTTAATAGGATCTCAGTTACTTTTAACCTAAAGGTTAATAATAAAATGTTCATTAATTTAAATTGTTGTACTTATTCGAACCTTGTTTTAAAATATTATTTAATTAGAAAAACTACCGATTTCATCTTAAAAATTTCTTCCTAACTTTAGGGATACCTATATTTATTTATATATGTGTTCTTAAAAGTCTAATAAGGATAGGTAAGCCCCTGCCTTTCCTAAAATAGCATATGGAAAACTATTAAAATTGCATAAAATATGTCAGCAGCTGGTCGAATCTTTTGCGGCTTGTGTCAAGGATTAGAGGACCCTGTCCGTCTACTGACAGATTCATATGCAGTGCAAATAGCATTTCGCATGCATCCGACAACCGCCACAGGATACAATTAGTGGCGAGTGGACGTCAAGTAACAGCACCCATCGAGGGGCATGGACCGAGAGAGCCCCGAGCTCCGAGGACAGGAAACCGAGAACATGGCCAAGAATGGTGGCTTTGACGTGACGCATATGGGTCACTTGGCCCGGGCAATGGCAATGCCTGTGCAGGATGCGGAGCCAGCAGCTGCATCCGCCCACGGTCACATCCACGCCCACGCCCACGCCCGGAAAACTCCTCCCAGAAAACAAGAGAGAGAGAGAGAGAGAGAGAGAGAGAGAAAGAGTGGATGTGGGCGGCCTTGACCTTGCCCCCTAAATAGCAATTTCCATTATGAAAAGCGCCAGCTTAAAGCATTTTACCATATGGCAAGGAATCCGGATTCCGAAATCACAGTGACCTTTATTTACAAAGGCAAATAAAACTAAGCCCAATTAAACTTCTAATTGGTCGCGCCAAATGCGAATTACGAAATTATTTGTAATAAAATTCCGCTTATTTTGTAGTTATTCCATTAAAATTAACGCTCGAAATAAAATGCAACGCAATATTTTACACACAACGGGAGAGATCTATGCACGCCTTCTATCAAACATTCCAGGGACATGGGCGTAGTAGGAAAAAGGGGTGGTAAATTTCCTTGAGTAAATAAATTCCTTTATTAAGTAATAAGTAAATATAAGAAATTAGGTTATTATATTAATTTAAAATTTTTTTAAATTTATGATTTTGATCCCCTTTGTATCACTGCAAGGTCATTAATTTGGTTTCGAAGCCAAGCAATATTATTAGTCAGCCTTTGTTGCTTCCAATGATTACCGCATCTACCCTCTCTGTATTGGGGAAAAATAAATTTCCCCATTTATTAGCAAAGTGCGCTTTTTGTATACTCTTATTAATTGGGTAGAGAAACTATATACATATATCATTTTTAGTAAATATAAAACTGTATTACCTTTAAAAAATAATTAAATACGATTTTTGTATACTCTCTTTTTCTGAGATACAGAAACAACATATATAATTATTAATAAATAAAAAAACTGTATTGTTTTATATAAATATTTTATAAAAAATTATGTGTCTCAAGAGATTTTTCTTTTTTTAAAGAAATATTAATATAAAAACAGCTAATTTCCGCATATAGTACAATCATATAAACTGTTTAGTTTTAAGAACACATCTTTTATACTTAAATCCCACAATATATTTCCTATTTTCTTTATAATAAAATGTCAAAGTGACCTTTTGCCTTAAAACCATTTTTCAGCTCGGGTTTCCCCCATTAAATGTCTGTCGCGAGGTCCGTTCTATGATAAGAACTTTTCCAGTTAACCCACACATTATAATATCATCCATAATTGGTAATTCTCCATAGTTTACGCTTGATTGCATGGCATTCTCATTGCTGTTGTTTGACAGCAGTTTATATAATGAAATCCGGGGCCCACTCGAGGGGGTGAAGCACACTATTGCTCATCTTGCCCCTCTTGGGTGCAATAAATGATGCAGTGGGTTGGAAAATTATCCATTTAAATCTTTAGACTGCAATTTCAGGGGCAACATACAGAAACACTCCAAGGTTCTATCAGTTTTTCGATTAGATACGATTTTTGCGATGTTTGTTGATAAGATACCTGTCAAAGCATTGCAAAACCTTAATGGTATTGAAGAAGTGTATTTGATGGTACCCCATAGATAATACGAAAAATTGTAATTTATTTTTGTTAAAAATTTATAATTTTGAAAATGTTTTGGATTAAACATATAATGTAGAAATTAATAGGGGATGATCAAGAAGTAAAAAGATTCATTAAAATAAAGAGGCCTTAAAAGCGAGTAAGATATTCTTGATTGTTACTTATATAAATTAAAAAAAATATATATAATTTTGCATAGTCTTTTAGCGAAATTAGAACGACATTTCTATAAAAAGTATTACAATTTAAATAATGCATAAGCGCAAATATTATTGGTTTATTATTTTTAAATGAATATACAACGAAAATTAAAAATACTTGCAATATTGTGAAATTTGCGGGGAATCATGTGTTTTTATTTATGTTAGGAAAGGCAAAATTCTCTCTAGTGCAGTTCTTTCCGCTTTTCCCTTTGCTTCTATTTCGCTATCTCTTGAGTTGCGTTCCCATAATGTTTGACAAACACGAAACTAAGAGACAAGCGACGATAAGCAAAGACAAAGGCAAGGGGGAAGCTAACGAAAGCAGGAGGAGGTAATGAAACGGAAGAGAGATAAAGCGGAGAAGTTGCAATTTATTGATTGTAAGTACATACACGATGCATACAGGCAAGGAGCTGTATCTTTGCATCTGTGTTTGTGTGGCTGTACTAAAAAATATAGTTGACAACTGACGATTGCACATACAAACACATTTATTTTGCGAGTATATAGCATGGCCTTGAACGTGAATTGCATTTGCGAAAAGAAAAGCAAAAAGGGAAAAAGCAAATACTAAGCGAAAGGCAAACAACAAAAACAAGATGCTAACAGAGACAGCGAGTGCATGTGTATGCGAGCGAGAGAGCGGGATGGCCACAGGTCGCAAAGAAATGTGCCAAAGCGAAAAGTTTGAAAGCACACACACACACACACACACTCGCAAGCTGCAACTGCATTTCCCATTCTCCTCTCTTGCACTCGCGCCATCTCCCTCTGGCCCGGCACTCTCTCTGAGTGACGCACACCCTTTGTCCCAACTAAAATTTCAAAGCAATCCCAAGGTTATCGCATACACATGCAGAAACTACACTACCTCTTGCTCTCTTTTCGCGCTCTCTCGCTCGGCCGCCTAACGCCTCCCCCCGATGCCCTCGACACTATCTGCACTTTGCAGTTTTTGGCAGATATGGAAAAGTACCGAAAATAATTGAATTTTCGATTGCAATTTCGAATTCTTGGCTGCTCTAGCCTTCGGATTAATCCACCTGATGAAATATGCAGATACAGATACATATGTATTTCCATCTACACGTGAAGAAATGATTTAAGCTGTAAAATAAGTGAAGAATGTTACCAGAAAATAAGAAAAGAATGAGAAAATAATGTAGTTTTTAAATACAATTTGATTAAAATAAATACAAATAAGAAACAAATCAGTATATACAACTATCTTTGAAGTCTCAACAAGACAATACTTAAAAGTTCTTATTAATATATTAATATTTATAATATTCTGACTTCAATATCATTTTTTAGTGTTTCATTTTAACCATATTTTTTAACGTATCCAATAATTTTCTTACCTGTGTTTAGTCACAACTTGTATCGCATGTTTTCTGCCTACATGGGCATCTTTCTATCTCGACTTGTCTACGTATTCTTTATCGCACAGATACAATTTTCAGTTTCACCCTTTTTCCCGTATTTTCTCTTCTATAATTTTAGCAAGCTGAAAACAGTTTCCAACAGCTTTTCCCCTGTGTTTATTTAGGTTAAAGGTGTGCGTCTGAGTGTATGTCGACGGTTGTGGGTGTGTGCCCGTGTTAATTGGTTTTGAAAATAGCATTTTACATGCTAGAAATGGGCTTTGATTAATTGACTTTGGAAATGTGCAAACATGGGAATAAATGTTTTGTCATCTTTAATTGTGGGAAAAGCTAAGCAACTAAGCTAAGCTATAGTTTTAAACTTACAAAATTTTATGTTTAAAGTTATACTTTTATGCCAGACACTGCAGTTTGATATATACGAATATTGCGCATACGCCATGTTGCCATCTGGCCAAGACAGTGCTCAAAGCCATAAAACCATGCAATTTCGTCTTCATTTTCAGTTGACATTCAGGGGAAGTTTATGAGATATCGAAACAAGCATAAAACCAACCCTGTTTGCCCAAGAAAAATGTCAAAGTTGAATGCACAATATCAAAGTGGCAAACGAAATCGAAATCGAAATGTGAATCATTTGGCACTTGCCAACATATGTTCGCCATTAGCTTTAGCGTTGCATAAAGCGCTTCCTTACTCTCTCTCTCTCTATTTCTCTCTCACTCGCTCTGTTTGCTCTCTTTTACCCCTGCAGCAAAGGCGAAACATGAAAGCGAAATTTCTGGCACATATTTCACAAAACGTCGACTGCAGACAACACGTCGCATTCGGCGATGATTCATATGGGCTACATACAACGATATATATGCATATATATACATTTGCCACCCTCACAGCTGCACTTCCCAAGCGAAAGCTCTCCGAAAGCTGGCTCTCTCCGCTCGCTCTCTCTATCTCTCTCCGAGCACACACACAGCGACACAGCGAATCCTTGTGGCATGTATTTCAAGTTCACTGTCAAGGTCACCTACTATACACATGCGCTGCTGCAGGGCGACGAAGGAAAAGGGTAAGGGCTCTCTCTGTGTTGCAGCAGCGAAATCATCCGTTTTAGCACCTACACAGTGCTTGCCAAAAGTATGCACTCGTTCCCTACACATAGTAGCTTCTACTCCCTCTTAAAGCTCCCTCTCCAACGCCCACCCACAGATTCCCTAAAAAGTATACACATTTTATAATAGATGCGATTCGAGCTCGGTCTTCCAGGCAGTATTTTGAGAAAATATATAAACACTCGCGGGGGGCATAAATTCAGAGATGCATATAGTATGTTCATATATTAATCGGGTTTATGGCTTCGAAGCATCCAATTTCGAGCTTCAATAAGCTGGATTTGGGATAGTTTTATTAGCTCCTTAATCAGTTTCTCATTATATCTTTTTATTAATTCATAATCCTAGTTCACAGTTTAATATAAACGATTTTTGTTGTTATTTGATACGTTTAATACTTTTTTTATTGCCCGGTAAAAGAATACCTATTTAATTAAATTAAAGTTGTTACTATTTGCTATTTTATTGTTCTTTAAGTTATTATAATTCTGTTGAATAAATTACACTTAACTATATTATAGTTTCAAGCAGACTTTAAATTTAAACAATTAAACAACTATTGCAAGAGGTAAACAAAAAGATTATTAAAAATGCCTTTTTATTTTATAAATAATTAAAACCTAAATATAAATAAATAAATATATATTTTAAAACCAATTTAACTATAGAATTCTATATCACCTATAAATGTTGCCAAAAAGAATGCTACATTCTAATTATTTCGGATTATGTAAATAAATTTAAACATTCCGCATTCTGGAATTTTTTATTGTTTCTATAACATTTTAATAGTTTCATATTAGTTCCATACCATTTTTATTTCCATAGTTTATATCTTTCTAAAGAAAGCCCACTATGAAGGTTGGTTTCCTCATAAGATAAGAAGAGTCAGCTAAAAAGTTATTTATAACCCTTACCCTTCTGTGTAACGCAATTCTCACTTTAGCCGTAATGCATTTTTTCCCATTTTCATCACAGTGCCAATGGGCGGAAAGCTACCACCCATCGTTCTGTAGTAGAGTGTTGGCATACAGCTGGCTGTCACTGTGGAGGTGCAAGCTCGGGATGTGTGTATCGGTATATACAATATATGTACATACCTATGTAAGATGTACCTATAGGTATAAATGTACATATTCTGGTCATCCATATACATATATACATATGGGCTGGCTTCACTGTGTGTTAGTGCATCCACGTGTGTATCTGCAGCCGAGTTCGAGTGCGAGTGTATCTGTATCTCTAGAGCGCATGACATAAGAAATCGGCGCACGAAGGCAAATTGGTAAGTTATGAAAGTCCCCAGCTCGACATGCAATAACATCTGTTGCATATAGCCGCTACACAGATATACATGGATACAGGCATACATCACGAGGGTACATACTAACATACATATTTACCTTAAAATAGTGTATACCATAGTGCAAGCGCTGCACTCAAGGCATTTAATTTAATTAAACAATTAAACAAACATGGCGGGTAGCGCTCTCTCACACACACACACTTGCTTGTTGGCCCCAAACAAATTCAATTAGGAAATTAAAATCGAAAAGCCAGCAATGTTTGTGCCCCCATAAAGAGAGGAGCAGCCCATGGAACGGATGAGAGAGACAGCAGGACCGCGGCCCGAAAGAGATGGCAGGCTGGCTTAGCCGGCGCAGAATTGCAGCACACGCACATTTGTCAATCGAAAAATCGCATGACATAGCCCACAATGTGCCATATACTATATGATGCATGGGTATTAGCAGGTTCCACCCCCACTACTATATGGCCAATACAGGGAACCGATTTCCGTATACTTAGCGGGTTCGAGGCCAGTAAGCCAAGTAATTATTGAATTCGCTGCTGGGCTTGTTCTGTGTTGCAAGCTTCAGTTAGTCAATAAGTGCGCTAATTATATACAATTCGCTGCCCTGGCCCAGGCCCAGTTCCAGTCCCAGAACCCGAACCCAAAAGCCCAGATACCCAGCAGATACAGATACACAGAGAGCTCAGTGCACATACAGTGGGCACTCTCACGAGAGATTTAGAAGGAAGCAAAGAGATTGTTAAGGGATTAAAAGTCAAAGAAAGGATTTGCTCAAACCCCGATAATGCAAAAGTATTTCGGGTTTCAGCAAGGCATCGTTGAATGTATTCTTTTATTAAAAAAATAATATAAATAAATAAAATAAATAAATAATATAACGAACGAAGTACATACATAACTCACTTTTAAGAAGTCAAAGATGATAAAAGCCAAAGGTGAGAAGAGTCCAAGGGCATTTTTCAGACTCGGGGTTTCTTTTTTATGTTCTTTAAGTGATTTTCTTTATTGAGCGACCACTGTACTGGTGCACAGGAGTGGGCAACGGAGGGCAGTAAAAGCGACGCGTCAGGGCAGACTGCACAACTTAAACTGCAAGTACATGGGAGCGAGTGGGAGAGAAGACGCCGCCAGAGCAGGATGGCGCCAGTTGGGGAGAGCGAGAAAGCGAAATGGGATCAGAAGAGGAGTAGCTTTTCGCATGTGTATTTGTGTGTTACTGTGAGAGGGAGAGGGTAGCTAACTGCTGGTACTGCAATCGGAAGCTCACCTACATATAGTACTTCACTTGGCGCGCTCTCTTCTCGCTGCATTACATAACATCCTTGAACTTGAGCTGAGCTCGTCTGCTTTTTTGTTGTTTTCCCTCCCGTTGGCATTACCTTTTTCAGCTCAGGAGCTCCTTGCAACGCACACATACACGGGCTCGGATACAGCCACAGCCACAGATTCTTCGGCCAAACAAGTGTGGGCCTCTGCACTCTCTTCGGAACCTTTCGGCTTTTCACGAAGGCAACGCCAGCGACGGCGGCTCTGCCATTTTCAGCTGGGCTGCGCGTTGGCATTGAAAGTTAGACAGGCGAGCTGCCAACAACGCTCCATTCCCAGCCTCAAAAGTCTTGAACCTCACAGCAACCCCCACCAGAAGAATTCTAAACACAACAAAAAAATACAGAAAAGCATCAGCAAAACTATACTCTATTATTCGTTAACAAATCAGACACGCAAATGACATCAACTGGGCAATTGAGTTTGTTGAAATTCAACACAAAAAGCCAATAACAATGCAAAATAATTGCAATTTAATTGTGTTCAATTCAACGGGAAGTGAATTATAAAAAGTATGAAAAAAAACAGCGGAAAAAAATTGAAATTACGCATATCCCAAAATTAATACAAATTATACCCAAACCAAAGTCATTCAATGTGCATTCTATTGTGTGTGGAAATGAAGAACGGAAGAAAGAGCGAGAGAGCAAAAAGGATTGGGAATGCAAATTTTAATCTTACAACTATTTTGAATACGTGCCCCCCAAAACAAGTGAGTTCCCACTTACATAAAGAAACAACGCTAAAAATATGGCAAAAAAAAAACCAATAAGGGAAAGCAATCAGTGGAAATTACAAATTTAAAACCAAAATCAAAATTGCATCACTTAATTTAAACGGAAAAAAGTTCAAAATCAGCTGATTAAAATAAGGGTAAGTTTATTATAAAAAAAATTAAGATCTGCTTTACGAAATGCAAAAATGTATTCACTATAAAAAGTCAGAGGTTTTTAATAAGTTAACATTGTTTATATTATTTTTTTTATTAAAGCTTGATTCAGAGAGAATTATAGGAACAGAATAACATTCTTAAGAAGCTTTTGGGGAATAAGTATAATACAAAAAAAAGGGAACTACCGATTTAATAATGAAAAGGTATTTTTCCCTTTTAAAAATAAAACTTACATTATTTCTTGAAGAACTGAGAAGCGAGAAAATAAAACCCTTGCCTTAGATACATAGATAAATAGATATATGTATGTATGTACATAGTACATAGTGCATACTTAAGTAAATTTCTCAAATATCAGGCCCTCCTGCTCTCTTTTGAAATTAATTTAAAATCCTTACATTTGGTTTATCGTTTTACTTGGAGAAATTATAGTACTTTTTTAGATTATTTTACTGAAGCTTTTAAAGCTCTTGCCCTTTTATCACGCGAGAGAGCTTTTCGAGCGGGATCAAGGGATGGGGATCTGTGTAACCCCCCGCCAAACCCTGAACCCTTTGTTCGCAATTGTTTTTCACCGTTTTTTGTTTTGCTTCGGCTAGAAAAAGCGTCGCAAAATAAACAGGAATCCGCTAAAAGCAAAAGTGAGTTTCTGTTCAGCGGTCTCAACGCACAGATAAAAGTGCGCAGATACAGATACACTTCAGGGATGTGTTTGGCCAAGGGGGAAAAGGAGGAGAGGTGTAGAGTTCGATTTCGTTAAGAAAAGAGTGCAAGGCACGGGGAGAATAGAATGATGAATGAAAGAATGGTAGAGGAAGCAACAGCAGAGCGAGATGGCCAACAAAAGAGCGAGAGGGAGAGAGTACTGGCAGAGAGATAGCAGGGCAGAGCGAGTGAGTTTGAAGGCCATCGCAGAGAGCGCCTCCCGCTCTCTCTTTCTCTCCCCCTCTCTTTTGGCTTTCGAGAGGTGTGTGGGGCAGTAGGGCAAAAGTGGGAAGACTGGCCCAAAAGCAGGCCCAAGAAACAGGAACAGGAAGAATTGGAAAACTTGACGAAGCGAAGGCGAGAGAGATAGCTTGGGAGAGAGCGCTCGCTAGAAGATAGAAACTCTGCTGGCGTCGACGCTGGCAGAAGCAGCGGCAGAGGCGAGAACTTTCCATGCGGACCAAACAGCGAAAAAATCGTAAAAAGGCGACATTGAACAGCGGCACCTTCAACCGATCGCATTTACAAAAGTTTACCTAAAAATCGGTTAAATAAATAAATAATACAACAAATATGTGGATACCCCCAAGGGCTAAGGGTTAAGGTTGCCGAAGGGTTATGTGTGACATAGCAACCCCGCGAAAGCCAAACCAAAGTGCATATAAATATAACCGAGAAAAGGCGAGAATGTGGCAGCCAAACCGAAAGCTGAAAGCAGCAGGAAAGTGGAGAATGTGTGAGTAAACCGAATTGCGTCGTAGTTAACATTTTTTCGACGGCGTCATCAAAGGCACTGCCCCTCGCCCTTGCCCACCCCCGCCCGCTGTTGTTGTGATTGCGGAAAATACAGTCAACAATTGCTAAAAGCAAAGTTTTGCAAACATACGCTGGCTCTCTCTTCCTACCTCTCTCAAAATTCATTTGTTTTTCTTGCCCGGAATTTGCAGAAATATAAAAATGTATTTATAACATAAACAACACACGAATTAAGCCAGCAAAAGCTGCAAAAAAAACACACACACACATATATTCATCGTGAAATTAAACAAAACAAATGCGAAAAAAGCGCTTATAAACAGTTCCGTTTATACACCAGCTAAAAAAAGGAGGCAGAAAAAGAACGTAACATCGGGAATCCGGCAAAAAGGGAATTATGAGTTCCCCGGAACTCTGCTCCAAACGAAAAGATGGCTCTCAACTTTGGTGTTTGTGTTGCTGTTTTTGCCATTTTGCCTTTATTTATTTTTGTTGTTGCCAATTTTGCCCAACTTGTTTATGACTTCACTCTGCGCCAACAATTCAAAACGATTTGACTCGCAATTGTCGCTAATGGAGAGTGCCAATGATGTTCTCTAAACAAATTCAAATTAGAATTATACAATTAAATATTACTCCGTAAAGATTCGAGATTCTCAATATTTTCAAAAATAAAAATAGGCATACAAATCCGAGAAACATTTGAGCTTACCTTAAAATCTTTTTAATAGAATATTAAATAAAGAAATTAAAATAACTATCTAAAATTATTTAGGATAAATATATATTTTTACAGCCTTAATTTATGTAGTTAATGTACTTAACAACAGGCAAATGTGTACAATTTTCAAAGTAGTTCAGATATTTGACAACAAATTTATTTATAATTTATTATGGCTTTCTGAGTCTTTACATAATAAGGACGGATTTATTCCGTAAATTAATGTTTTATTATGAAAATAACGTGAAATAAAATAGAACCAAGACCCATTAAATTGACATTGATTTCGTTTATAATTAAATGATTGCATTAATTGAATAAACATTTAGATGAACTGACAATCGAAGTCTTTATTAATCTCGTAATATGTTTTTCGATCGAATGGGCTATAAAATAAGTGCTTATTCACTGACAAATCGTTAACCGAACTTCTGAGCGAGCATTAACTTTACTGTATAGCGGTAGTTTTATGAGCAGTCGCCTGTTGATTTACCGATTGCGTCACGTGTCGGCGGCAGATCAACGCTTTGAAATTCGCAAATAGTGCATACATGTTGTACTTCATTTAGCTATTTGTTTGTGAGTCAGATCAAGATCATGCGGGGGAACATACGATCGGGCGAGTGCGGTAAACAATTCTGTGAAATTGTAAACTGCAGCCCTCGGATATAACTTTTGCCATGTGATGCAGTCAATCAAGATCCAAGTGCGATTTCCCGGTGGAAAACCACCAGCAACAACTACTACTTACTACAGCAATTGCGTTATTTTTGTATCTGAACTTGACTCGGGCTTTAGCTTTGCGTGTCGCTTTTGTTTGCACAAAGATACGGGTTCATCGATGCGATGCCAGTGTGCGAGTGTGAATGTGAGTGTGCATCTGCATGTGTGCGAATAGATGGGATTTCGAAATTCGTTTACGTAACACCCGACCCGCCCCATCTCCGTACACAACCCACACTCATTACGGAAGCGAGGAATGGGCGGCGGTTTTGGGGATTGCGGGTTGAGGTTGGGCAGGAAAAGTCATCTTCACGGCTACACAGAGAATAAATTAAATATCTGTCGAACGAGGGTTTCTTTTCTTTCTTGTTTTGAAACATATCAAAACTTAAGAACTTTATACTTAAACACCTTTCCAATAACAGTTCTGCATATATCAAATTTGATCTACTTTTCTTAGAACCTAATCTCTGATGAGTCATTAATTTGTTATAGTTTATTAAAACTGAATAGGTTTTTTAATTTTTTAATAAACTTTATCAATTATAGCTTTTGAGATTATAAATACTCGCTTGATAACGCCGATCAAAATTATATATTGTTACCTTATAGGGTTGGAGATTCCAATAATTTCCCATTTTTGTGCTTGCATTAAACAACTTTAGAAAAATATTGGGTTGCCAAAATGTATAGATTTTAAATATGAATTACTTAAGAACAGCTACACGATTTTTTTTTTCAGTGTATCCGTTTTAATTACCGAGTGGCGTCATTTGGAGGAGAGTGTGAGTGTGTGTGTGTTGTGTCGATTGGATTTCGGATGTTGGCCGATGCGGTGGAATGGTAAAGGGGTGAAGGGAGGCAGAACAAAAAGGCAGAAGAAAAGGGGAGGCAATGAAGGGTACATTGCCCAAATAAGGTTGGAGGAAGATGACAACTCGACCCAGGTGTTCGCCATATTACGTATGCATCGCCAAAGCTGCAGTTCAAAATGGTCAGCCAAAGGAAAGAGGCAACCCAGAGGGGTGGTGGAAGAGAGAGTGAGAGAAAACGACAGCGCTAAAGCGCTTCGAAGCGCAGCCGACGTTGACGGCGGCGTCAGCATCGCGTGCTTGACGTTCGTTCAGTGTGTCGCTCTCACTGTCCGTTTGTGTGTGTGTGTGTGCGTGAGTCTGTGTTTCAAGTTCAAGGTTAAGATACTAGTTGTACATACAGTGCGCGGCGCAGTGAGTGCGAGCGAGCTGGCACTATGTAGTTGCCTCAGTGCTGTGCTGTACCTGTGTGCGTGTGTGTGGCAAACCAGTTTGGCACGTTTCAGTGCGAGAGCGAGACGCCTACACGTGTAGCAACGAGAGCAGCGGCAAACAAAGAGGAAGCAAAAACAAAAGCAGAGCAAAAAGCAAAAGCGAAAAGCACAAACAGCAAACACACAGAACACAAAGGCGAACAAAACGTGGCGGCGTCAAACATTCATTGGACAAGGAAGAAGGCGAAACAAACATCCCGCTCCCGCTCTCGCTCTATCTCGGTTTTTTTTTTCATTCCCTTTGCCACACTTATTCGCACTTATTATTGCCCTATGCGTTTTGCCTTTCAATTTTATTATCTTTCACTCGCGCACACACACACACACGCGCTCACATGGGGCTTTAATTGAATTGATGTTGATGATTACGCCAAGTGGCGACTGCAATCGCCCCCTCTCTAGCTTTACGCGTCTCCACCCTGTCTCTAGTGCCTCCACCTCTTCAACCTGTCCGGAATACCTGCTAAAGCAAAACGAGAACTCCGCCTGGCCATTTAATTAATCGCCAGTGCCAGCCAGTGTCCGTGTTCCTACTTAATGGATTCCCCGCAGCTTTACAGTAAGCAGCGAAAAAAAAAAAAGAAAAAGCAACAGCAATCTAGAACCATCGATTCCCAAAACCCCGAAATCGATTCCAGTACACTGCTCGAATTAAATATCGGAATAAATATTTTTTAAAATTGTAGTAAATTAATATTGTTTGGAAAAACTTAAATGTTTCTAAAGAATTGTGATATATTTTGGTAGAAGGTTCAAAATTACAGTTTATATCTTAAAAGAAAAATCCTATATTACATTTTAAAGGCATAAAAACAAATGAAATGTACATTTCTAATGTTTATATACAATTCATTTATGTGCCACAATGCCTTTATTGAGCAAATTCTAAACACGATCTGGAACAGGAATACTATATGTAGCTCATTAAATAAATTCGCGCATTTAGCATAGCTACAAGTTCGTTGCACCAAGCACTGCAATGTACAATGCACTCGGGGTGGGACCTTGAGGCGGTCGTCGCTTTTGCAACTAGGTGAAGGGGAAGGCGAAACAACAAAATAAAATTCTATTTCTTTCCCTGATTTATGAATTAGGGTGAAGCACTCTGTAGGTATAACAAAAATATTTTTTTTTTAAATATTAATTATAATATTATTATAATATAATATATGCTATTTGTATTAATTTATACTATTTGTATTAAAAACCAAGTTTAAAGCTAAAAGATTCACTTTTATTATTATTTATTTTCCCCTCTACTATTTATACCCAAAAAAATTTGTACTTAAATATTAGTTTTGAACTGAAAATTTGACTTCTAAAACAGTTATTTCAAGACTGTTTCCGGTCTCTATTATATTGTTTTTTTCTGACAAAGTTGATCCATAATGTTTAGTAAAGTAAAACATTTCTCTAGAATTTGTGATATCTTTCTATCTGGAATTTATTTTAAGAGTAATTCCCGGTGTGTGTGGTGTGCGCAAATTTCGCCGAAAATTGCGGCCCTCATAAATTGTGCAAACGAATGGCCTGGATGGGCTGAAAGGAATGTGTTTGTTTATAGATGACGGAACGAACGGACCAAACGCTGACCGGGCGGGAATCAATAATGTTTGCCTGCAGTGGAGCGATGTTTTTTTCTAAACAAAAAATCTCGTATGTTTGTTTATTTTTAGGGTGCGCTTGCTGCTCCAACTCCGTCAGCAAGGGAAATTTAATTAGCGACACTTCAGTTCAGTTCAGCTGAGCGGCTAAAAACAGCCCCGCCCCCTCTGGAACGAAGGGGGTAAGAAATGGGCGGAAGGCGAAATTTCGTTGATTTCTGCATGACGACAGCAAAAAGCGAAAAGGCGAAAGGAAACGAGAAACAACAACAACAATAGTCGGAGTGCAGCGCACACACACACAAACGCCCACACATTGCACTGCTGCTGCTGCATAGGAGTGAACGAGAAGGCGAACATGGCGCGGACATGCGCTCTCGCTCTTGAACTTGAAAACCGGCAAACGAACGAGAGAGGAGAGCGAGAAAGAGCGACATCTAAAAGAGAGCTGAGCACATCAGGTATGTGATTTGATTAACTTAAACAACAACAAAATCAAGGCCCAAGCTTTTTGCTCTCTTCGCGAGCTTTATTTGCTAGAGCGAGAGCCAGCAGAGGCTTTTGCGTGGGCGACTTAAGACAGCGCCGTCGACAGCGCTGCCAGCGTCGGCCAACTGTTAGCTGTTTTGTTGTAGTTGTGTACCGAGCGCGACCAAATACTGTTGCATACTTAGCGGGGCAATGAGCAGGGAAAGCGAGCGGGAAATTCGAGCAGAATATCTGTGGAAAGCAGCGACGGGGGTGGGTGAAGGGCAACCTCCACCTGTGCGAGTCCAGCTGCAGCTTCCTGCGGCGCTCGCCTGCGCTTATTCGGCGACAAGCGGAGGCCCGATGAGGTCAGCAGTGCGGATTACGCATACGCCTAGTATTCCCGTACCCAGAACGCGACTATTTGTGTGTGTGTGTGTATGCCAGTGTGACCAAGTTCATTTAAAAGGCGCGTCTCCTTTATTTATGGCAAAAACGAAATCAGGTGCGGAGAATTGATTGGCAGAGGCACAAAACAAAACAGCAAACAAATACAATATATAGCGGGGCGTGTACTTCGTACAAAATCATGTGACGCACGCCAGCATATGGCAATTAAATTTGAATAATTAAGCAGCTAATCGGATGCATACAAACGTGGCAGGTGCAACACTTGTAGGCACTGTTATTGTTGTCGTTGTTGTCCTGCACCTTGACCTTTCCACGCCCATGCAGCCGCACAGCTACATGTGTATATGCGTGGGTGGCGCACACGAATACACAAAGGATATGGCGTTCTCCACCTCTCCCCTACATATAGACACGTTCGCTTTCGCTTATGTACACACATACATACATATATACATATATACATATATACATATATGTATGTAGAATAGAGCCCACAGTTGGCTGGCAGCTGTTGGAGCCGAATCGAAAACAGAATCCGAGATGCACACACACTTCCTCTATCTTTATCCCGATGAAGAGGTCCTCTGTCTTCTGGACAGCGGAAAGTTTAAAAGAGAAACACACACACACACATAGTCACAGCTGGTGAAAATAAGAACCAAAAATACAGTGAAAAGTGTTTAGTTAAAGGTTTAGGGGCTAATATCTAAAAAATTAATAAAGGTTTCAAATAGCAGAGGGAAGTTCATAAGCTGTGCTTTATAGTTTTGAAATTACCTTGTAAAATTACAGAATTTTATAAAAACAAAGCAGATAATTGATAAAATTAAGTTTATTATTTAAATTAGTAAACAATTAAAAATTATAGAGGTAGAATATTTTCCCGTGCCTTTTTTTTATATATGTATGTCCTTTATAAACAATTTTTAAACTTAAAAGAGCCATGGACATATCCTTCTACAATAAATTTACATAAAAGCAAACGAACTATTAGGTGAATTTTTAGGAATTACAAAAATTAATTACAATTAAAATAATACATATTTTAGCATAGTAAAAATATAAAAAGGATCTAGTTGTATGTTTTTTTTATTATTATAAAACTGCAAGTAAAAAAGTGTGAGAGAAATGTATTTAAAAGCAGTAAATGGGTCAAATTTTTAAAATGTTTAAAATTATAAGTAATTCAGTTTATTTTCTAAAGTCTTAAAGAATCCCTTAATAGTTTCTACAAAAGACAACAAATCCAAAATAAGGTAGGACATTTTTATATCTCTTGGAATAAAATATAAATATTTTAAAGTGTATCATTTTGTGTTATTTATTTTACATTTATTTTTATAAAGTGCTAAATAATACGAACAAATTGATATCCAAAATCAAGTGATCAAGGACAAATATGCCAAAATCAAATAAAAGAAATATCAAGTGCAAAAGTGCAGCCAAAATTGAATTTCCGATGGAAAACTACGCCTTCTTCGGGAAGGTTCTGCGAGGGCAAGAGCGAGACGGAGCGGGGCGGAAAAGCGGTTTGTGTCCGCGCTAAGCTTTCCACGCGAAGCTTTTCCATGTGCAACTGCCAGTGGGATACACCCTGTGCTCGCTTTGAAAAACCGCAAGCAAGTGAACACAGCTGGTGGTATCCAGTGGCCGTTTTAGCATAATTTCAACTGCAGCGAGAAACCGAAAGGATCCGCCGGAAGGAAGGATATGGAGACAGGTGAGTCCAGTCCCCATAACCCTTTTTTGTTGCAAGTCCAGTTTATCAATGGTTTTTGTTTCGTTTATACTCGTTTTTATCCGTTCCTTTACGAACCTAATTTTGCCATACTAAAAAAAATAATATTACCTTAGCCATAAGCTTCAGTTTGATTCATTTCTCCCCTCAAAAAGTATTAAAAAAAAAAAAAAAAAAAAAAAACAACAAAGAAAACAGATAAATTGGATTTTGAATAAAATAAAAATAATCTTAAGAATTAAGAATCGATTAAGACAATAATCAGTGAGATGACAAAAATTGCATATGATTATATTCAGCATTTTCTTGTTACACACATTTTCCAAATAATTATTTTCGCATTTGATTTTCCTTCGCTGCGATTTCTTTTTGATTTTTAAATGTGTGTTTTGGTAATCCCCTTCGTTGTCCAAACATTTACACCCACATGCATCGGGGGAATCTATCGGGTTTCGGAGGGGTTCGGGGTCTTGAAAATGCAACGCTCTGAAAACGCTCACAGACGTTAATTATGCCCCCACACACAAAGCAAGCCGTCCGTAGTAATGAGTGAAATTTCACAGCGGGGAGCGGCCAAATCAAATCGGTTTTAGAAATCGCTGGCATAAACAATTAAGAAGATTTTCATGCTGCAAATTGATTTTGTTTGCGATTCACCACCATATATACTGGGATATATATATAAATACATATTATTCTCCTCTGTTTTCTCCCAATCGCGTGCATTTGCAGCAAAACGAAAGCCATTTGCCAATTTTCTATTTTCGTTTCGCTTTGGCTTTTTGGCTCAGGCACTGCGAATGGGCCAACTGGCTAGCACTAGGTTTTTGGCTCTGTTCTTGGTCCGAACTGCAGCTGGGCAAAGGCAAAGGCAACTTGGTGACATTATTTCGACATTTGTCTGCTGGCGAACGCCGCAGCTTTTGTCACTTTTGCATTTCAAATGACCGTCAATTATCCTTTGTCGACACTCTCGGTGTTCCCTAACGCTCTCATTGTCTTTTGTTGTCTTGGTTTTCCACCATTTCACCCTGCTTTTGCCTTCATTTTCCTTCTTTTTTCGCGTTCTGGCCCCACGAGGTCAAGGAAAATGAAATTGATTTTCTGGCCGAGCGAATTTCGCTTTTCACCCCCTCTGTCTATATTGTGTTATGTATACCCTGTACTAGGTACACTCAACGAAATTAGTTTAAATAGGAAACTATATTCGAATTTAAACCAAGAATATTGTGAAATAAGATTGTGTTATTTTCTGAAAGAAGCCCCATTTCTATTTACATTTTACTTACATTTTAATTATTTTTCTTTCTAAAATATGTGCATATTTTTAAAAATTAAATGACGAAATGATTCAAATGTGCCAAAAAGTATGCTATATAATAATCTAGGTGTCAAATACAATTTGGTGGCATAATTTCTGGCACCATTTTTATTGATTTCAAATCTACAGATATGTATTTCTCAGATACATAAACTTGTGACAATCAATTTTTGGAGAAATTGATATTTATAAATTGTAGGACATCGTTTTTCAAATTGTACAATATTCTGTTTGCTTTATATATTTTTTCAAGTTCTGAAAATGTTCTTTCATCACATCAGTAGTCTCATTAAGACATTCCCAAATTTAAAAAACAATTCACTACTTATTTTTTGCGAGTGTACGTGTGCATTTAAGAGTTATTTTTCTTTGCCACACGATGACGGGGTGTCTTATGCAATCGCTGGGTTCTGTCACTGCAGCGTTCTTCCTTTTTTTTTTTTTTTTTTTTTTTGGTTAAGCTATAGCGTTAAAGTAAAATCAATCCCCCGGGCGGTGGTCAGCCAACCAATTATCGGGAGTAATTATAGCCAGAGCTAAAGCTATAGCTAACATAGTCATAGTCATCGTCGTGTGTGTGTGTGTGTGCATTGTGCCGACAGAGACCCGGTGACCTCATGACAAGTTTTATGATGAAATTAGCTTCGATTGAAGTGCGCTGGCCAATAAAACGCCATCAAATTCAATAAAAACTCGCACTTGAATAATAGACAATGGCTAAGCGGACGGACTTACGCAATCGGGGGATATAGAAATCAAGCTTTAGTTGTTTTATTAACGGAAATAACAAGTTTATGGCCAACGAATTAAATCATTAACCCGATGGGAGAGACTATGTATTTAAGTTGGAATTGGATATATGTATATATTATTCATGAGAAACTATTATTGATTAGATATATTTATTTGAAAATAAAAAAAATGGTGAATAAAATACCTCTCATTTATGTTAAATTTTTTAAAACACTTTAAAATGTGTCTAAAAGTATGCAATGAAAAGAGACTTCAAAAACTCAGTGACTTCTGTTGCAACTCTTTGTTAAAGGAGGTATTTTCCATTCAATATACGAATTTTGTAAACAAGTAATGCTATTTAAAGAAAGACAATTCCCACACAAACTTCCAGTGAACAAGAACTATAGCAATTTCCCAAACAACTGCTGAATTTCCCGCTGTTCAGCTTTAATATTTTATTATATCGCTTTTCAGGTTAGTAAATTATTTATTGCTCAAATTCTTTTGTGTTGGTTCGTTTGTTTTATCGAAATAATAAACCTAACCAAACACTAATCACGCGAAATTCGTGCATGACGAGATTAACTATAGCCGATATCAGCTGTTGACAGACAGCGGAGGGCGGGAAATTTTCAATTTAAGTCTGACCTTAGAACTACAATTTGATCGATAATTTCGCATAATTGCGGAATCTCTCGGGCGAAAACCGTGACACATGGCACACGCACACAAAGCCAAAAACACTGCACAAACAAACACACATACAGACACACACGTGGCGACATCAC